TCTGATGCCACCCGTTCCTATTGTTAGTCACACGTAATAGATGAGCATGGGCGTAGGCAAAAAAAGCTGAACTATTAGACTAACATAGCAAAGATATCCCAAGTGTCACCGAAATGATCACTCTGACAGAGCAACCAAAACTTTGAATAGAGCACCTATGATGTATTAATGACAACAGGATTCGAATCATCGTGGCGTTTGTTTTAATTTTCGTTGCCTTCTGGACATGCAGCGTGTCTTCCCCAATTTTCGGTACACACCGACGTGAACAAAAATCGAGACTCAACGTGGGGGTTAATCATTAGCCGGTCGGTGGAAAACTGGGCGAGAGTTTCGTTGTATGTATACTGATAACTGTAATAGAATTATTCAAGCATTTTGCTGTCCTGGTTGGATGGACATTGAACTTATCTACTTCAAGGGATTTCTGCTTTAAAAAATTATAGTCCACGTTTCGTCAGATAAATGTGGAGATATACGCACGGACAGTGCTCAAATAGCGAAGGTAGCTGTTCAATTTATAATTCTACCTAAGTACCATTCTAAATATCTGTAGGGCATTTTAAATCATTCCACCAAATACTATGACCTATTTGAGTTGCGGAATACGTCGTAAACATGTTCAAAGATATACAAAAAGGTAACTTGAAATGTAAAGAAAAAAAACAACGAAAACAATTTTATAAATATAATATATAGATTATAGAGCATATTTTATTGCTACTGATGTCGGAGTTAACTTCTCCTTAATTTCCTAATTGTTCACTAGGGTACGCTCTCCCTACACTATAAATACTGGGCGATTTCTTGCCTCGTTCTCTTTTTACTTTCATTTTTAATTTCAGCGGACACATTAAAAATGTGATCTCTCGTAGAGATCTGCGTTTTGCCCACTTGTGGGAAAACGCCATCAAATATATACACACACACATACACGTAAGTACGAACATTCATCAAAATACAAACTCTTTACATTCACACCCAAACACAAATGTTAATGTCTATGTCCATTGTAAATTTTGTCGTTTAATACATATATTTGTTGATATATTTATATATCGGTCTTGGTTTTCATTACACTTCTTTATGGTGGATTCAATCTCTGAGTCCGCCATGTTCTTGTAGTGGACCTTCTAGCTGGAATAAACGCATGTGTTCCTAATTTAACAACACGTAAACCCACGGTCAGCTACACTGACATCACAATGTTTCAATATGCGTAAAGAGTGTATGGATGTGTAGCAAAGGTAAGAAAGAAGGTAAAGTGGCCCAAATTAAGTCCTGTCTTAACGCTTTATCGCATCTTCTTTGCCGTTGTCCAGGCCCGAAAGGTAACAAACAAGTGAACATATTTTTTTTAATTCTGCGCCACTTACATTCTGACGTGTCACGTGACTGCTGTAATGTCACGTGACTATATATCTAAGGAGATGTAAATATGTCACCATCATCCTTCACAGAATCGCTATTACACTTGCGTTAAAACTTGGTTCGAGAAAGGATGTATCCTAGTTAAACGATAAACTACATCCGGTAGCAAAACCTCTGTTCGAAAGATTGGAGGTTTTGGGGAGCGTGGAACCACTTCTTAACTGCTGTTGTTACCAGGACCACCCTGACCCGGGTTGGTAATAGCTGTTAGGATACCAGCAATGCGCAAATAATGAATCCCCAAACAAAAATCAACAGTACATTTTATAATAAAATGACTAACAATAAATGTTTATAGCAAAATGACAATCAATGTAAATCTAAAAAAAATAAAAATACATTTTTATAGTAAAATTAACAACAATACATTTTGTTATCTACAAACTATATATTTAAAAAAAATATACTTTCACCCTGAAAGTATAAAATCATGTACAAAATATTTAGATTTCGGTATAGCGGTTGCTGTTTTTCACCCCCACATACACTCCAAGTTATTTTATTCGTCTGCGATTTGCTAATAAATTCCTACTACCTTTGTATAGGACAATTTAGCCATCACAGTCGTTGCTTTGAATCTTTTGGTTCTGAGGATACTTACCTATTCTGTTTAGTACGTGTGTAGTGATTGGTTAATTTTTAACCAATCACATATTTTTAATGTAAGATCAATTTTCCCGCGGTTCCGTCGGAGCCTACCTCTTTTGCTTAAATAGGGAGACTTTTCGCAAGACGCCAGTAAAATCCCAGCCGTCAACACAAATCCACGATCTTGCTCATCACACTCTAACGCACACACAGACACAGAATTTTCGTAAATACAAACTTACATTTTCTCTCTGTAACTTTCGCCAAGCACAATCAACCAGAACTTTGTTGATTCAAACCAGTTTATTCACAACACATTTCAAGCAATTGTATTCTTGGTGTTATTCATTCTTCACATGCAAACTTTGCTCTAACAATTATTTCGGAACATTTATCTCACAAGAGAACTTTCTTCAAACGGTTGATTACAATCAATCTACAGTCAAGGGGAAACAACTTCCTTCCCTTTAGTCTACATTGTGAATACGATTTTATTTCATGCTTGTTGTTGTATTTTATTCAATATATATTTGTTGGTTAACAAACTGGAGTTGATGTTATTATTTCTTGAATCCTGTACGTGGAAGAATCATTAATATAAATAGTAGTCGTATCTATATATTTAGTGTTCCTGCTACATTTAGTGGATCGACCCGACGCTATATTTGGTACATGCGCAACATCGGCATTAAATAACCCATAGAAGTGTTGATATGCCTCCAAACAAAATCAACCAACCAATCGAGAAATGACTCTACTCACCTGTAAAAAATAAATAAGTAAAAATAAAAGTATTTTGGTTATCTGTAGAGTGTAGACAGTGAAACTTTTAAATACACATTTCACTTGTTTATATGTAAATAGTAGATGTGTAGGTATCATAACGGTTATTGACGCGGAATCAATGAGTAGAGCTCAAATTTCAGTCTAGTTTGCTGCATTGACTTCGCAATAATACCATTGTGAAAGGCATGAATCCATTTTTTTTTACCTACCATATATGGCTAAAATAAAGGGTAATCTGTTTTCTTTATTCTCGGTTAGAAGCCAGTTTAATTGAAGACAACTTTGATTTCAAAATCGTGGAGAAGGTAGCGAGAAATCACTCCACTGTCTTTCCCACGTATGTGTATGTGAGTGTGCGAGAGAGGTAGCTCCGTTATGTAAGTTTGTTGAAGGCCTCATGGTTCGCAGCAATGTGGCACCGCCGTTGACTGAGGCCGAACTTTATGTGTTTCACTGTTTGCTAGGAGTTATGAGAGTTGTGATTTGGTCGACACGTCAGAAAGGATTCTATGGAGGTGAGAAGTTAACCTCTTCCTAACTGATCTTGTACTTTAGGCATCAGCTTAAAGTCAAGATTAGGACGGAAAGGCGGCGACTCTCTTCATCAGAATTCGGGAAAAATAGAGGGACAAAGATGTGAGTGCGCCTAGTTGACAGCGTTATTTATTTACAGAGAGAGAGAGAGAGTATATGATCGCGTTTTTATAGACATGAAGAGCGCCCTCTAATATGCGTTTTGGTAAAGCTAAGTTGGATTGTATTGAGTGCAAAAGAATATTAACTCCCTTTATCCACAGCCTTCAAATTCGGAGGACTGAGGAAAAATATAATTTGCGATCCTACTTGAAATTGTTTTAGACCAATGAAAACTTTGTCTTCACACAGAAATTAGCCTTTGAGTGATGAAGAAGAAAGAAAAGAAAGTAGAGAGCCTACGCGAAATTGCTTTTGATATAAAATGAGGAGAAAAATTAAATTAATCAACGAAGAGTGTCTGAAGTCATGTGAAAGATTTCGTTTCTGCTCATCGTGTCCAGTGTTCAAGTTCTTGCTAGTGCAAAAAACTATTCGCCAATTATATTATCGGTCTTTAACGCAGCACTTCAAAGAATTTTCTCTCAACAATCCAAGAAAACTAAGTATTTCAAACGATCTCCCTTTGTCTACTTTTGAATATATGCAATCGTATATTACTTCTGTGAGCAACAATCTCCCTTTGTTTTTTAAACATACATTTTTGTTTGAATATTATTTTCTGTCAGATGATCTGTTGTATGAACATTTCCTCTTCATGAAAATATAATGAACTTTAAAAGATTTCTGATTTATTTTCCTGAAACGAGCTGCTGATAAAACTTCAAGCGTGTAAAAAAAAAAAAAAAAAAAATTCTTTATCTTGTTAATTATTATTATTACCCATATCTTTCCAGTTTCTTCGTCATTATCATCTTTCATTCTTGGCATGGGTAAATCAGTTGTTAATTTTTTAACCCTTAAAAGCTCCACACCACTAGGGTTTAACCACAACGTAACTGTTGTTTGTAAGCGTAACTTGGTTTTTTGGACAAGGCCACAAACATAGGGCTGCCAGTGAGATCGAACTCCTTACCACTACAATTATGCACACATTAGCAATCTGACTGAATCATTAGTGAACTGGAACAATATCAAATAATATCCAGTATTACAAGGGTCATTTCGGCGTGATGTAATAGTTATTAGGAAACTGGTCTCGCTAGATCATTTCCTTTTTAACTTAGTACTAGTGAGTTCGATCCTCACTGAGTACTTGTGGCTTTGCGCTACAAACACCAACTCGAGCGGAATGTGATACAAGGAAGGTTAACTTTTGGTAATCTACGCTTATGTGGACTGAGGATACTTCCTCTTTTAGAGACGTCAGGTAATGACACTAGCCTCCCGAAGTAGTAATATTAATTCTCTAACTTTACTCCGACGCCAAATCCGGCCTGGATGAGGACCAAAAGAATTTCAAAGAAAGCGTTTATTCAATTTTACGAAGTGCGTATAATCATCTCCCCCTGAATTATACAAAATAGAGGGCGCTGTTTTTTTAAAAAAATGGCAGCCCCCGTGTAAAGAGCAATGTGCGGCTGTCCGGTTTTGTTTTTCATGATTATTAGTAAAAATATAAACTAATTTTATTAATACCGACCTTTAAAACGAACATAAAAATGAAGCTTGTAAGTATTTTTGTCTTGATCTATTTGCGTATTTTTAATAAAAACAAACAACGCAGTAAACATTGTTAATTTGTTTTTGCATTTTTCATTTCTTTATTATTTTATTTTGGTTTTGGAGTATTGTTATGATAAATATCAATTTAAAGAATGCGCGCATCTCTTAAAAATATCTAATTTTAGTGTTTATTTTTTTTATCGCAAACATACGTTTTTAAACTTAGCTTGATCTGGCACAAGGCTATAAGTGTGGAGTATTTATCGTATAATTTAATAATTAGTTGTGTTTATTCGGACAAGCATCTTGGATTTTATTTTCAATTATTTCCATTTGTAGTGAGTTGATATTGTCACAGTCGTGACGTTAAATGACAAAAAAAGTCTTTAAACACAAAAAGACGACAGTTATGTTTCTTTTTTTTTTTTTTTAAGAGACTTAGTTATTATTAGCCGTAGTGCGATATTTTTATTTTTTTTTTTTTTGCAAATTTTTCTGTTATTTTGTCACAGTTAAAATTTTTGTTATATATTTCACTTTGTGATAGCCTCCAACTTATAAAGAAATTAGAAAATCTGTTTGAAGTGTAATATTTTTCGTTTTAGCCTTCGTTTTTGTTTGGGGAGGCGCTTTCGGGTCTATAATAAATTAAAAAAATATTAATTTTAGAAAAAAAGTCCCTCCCTACGCTTTTTTTATTTTACTGGATACATTTTTAAAAATATATTTAATTCTAAGAAATTTAAAGAAACTGATTACCCCCTCCTCCCAACATGACCTAAGAAGAATGACACTACAAAAAATACTGGTAATATTGTAGAATACTGAGTTCCTTGTGTCCAAATACCCTTCATTTATTTAAAATTTTTACGGAATTGGTGTGTGCATTGTTGTGTTTAACAAATCAAGCGTCCCATAAATCATGATATTATTACAAAACTGATAATTTAATTTTATGTTATCTGAAAATACCCTACCAAAAAATCCATACTACTGCTGAATACCCTTGAAATATCCTCATTAAAATCAAATGCAAGGTACTCTTTTGTACCAAATACAAATACCTTCTTGATTAGTTCTGCTCGTGAGAATTTAGTTTGTAAAATAAATGTGTTGGTTTGAATAAACATTCCACCAGGAATTTTTATATATGTTTAATAAATAGGAGACAAAATAATTGTGCAACAGAGGAAATTATTTGAAAAGTAAATACTGTGTAGGGAGGAAGATTGACAAAAATAATTCTACGGTCCTTGTGTTTGGTATACAAGAGTAGAGTAGAGATACTTTAAGAAATTAATTTAAGAAAAATATGTTGAAAACTGATTGATATTTTATTTTTAATAATATATGTAAATCAGTTTCATTTTAAAAATATGAATAAATGTTCTTTTTAAAAGAAATTTATTTTTTAGCAATGGTTATTTGATGGTAATATCTGGTCATGTCATCCTATGATTGGTTAAATTTGAATGTTACTGTTTTTTTGTGTTTTTTTTTTTTTAACTGTGCAGGCATATCTTGGATATTTTTGGAAATAAGCATATTAAAATCGTATGTTTTTTAATATGAATATTTTTGAAAGAGAATTTTTTGAAAATTATTAAGAACTTGAGACAAGTTCTGTGTTAAAATCAATTTATAATTTATACCATTGATTGGTAATGAGAAGGAATTTTTGCATTCCAAATATATTTAATCTGAGACTAAATAAAAATGTCGCTACTGGCTTCATAGCTTCTCCAGAAGAGAAAAAGATATATTTTATGAGAATTGGATTTGAATAAGTTTTTTTACTTCTTAAAGTTGGCACATATTGCTGACATAAATTTAAGATTTTAAATCCAGCTATTATACATAAATACCTATATTTTCACAAAGAACAAGAAGGTTACAGATATGTTTTTCCTTATGAAACCACATTGAAAATATCCTGTGTTGAAATCAGAAGTATAGGCAAAATGATTATCTCCAAGCTGGTGTAGTTGAAAGAGGGGGAGACATCAGAGCTAAGACATCACCAGTAAGTTATGCCAATCTTAACAGGGTTGCAGAATATTGCGAAGGGAACTATCTTCAGTAAAAAAGAAGATTGAACATTTTTTATTCTTCAGTTATTTGGAGAAAAAAAAATATCTGAAAATTGTATATTTTTTCATCTCAAAAAGAACTTAACTGTATTCATTTTTTTAGAAATTGTGAACTCTAAAGAAAAAAATATGTGTGTAAATATTGTGCTTGTGGCTTGTGTAGAAAAAAAACCATTGTGCATTTTACTGTATTGTTTTGAAAAAAATTAAGTGAACATCCTTTTATAATTTTCTGTCAAGAATAAACACCTTTTTTTATCTTTTCATGTATTACCTTTTAATTGTTTATGGACTTGTATGCATTTCACCATCCTTTATTTTAAATAAATCTTTTGGAATTGTGAATACTTGTTCATTTTTGCCTCAAGCATCGATCTTTTATTTTTTCCTGTGATAACAAAATTTTTATTTAACGTTTTTTTTCCTTTTGAATGGAAATTGGATGGCAATTCATTGATTTTAAAATGTTTAATAGTGTGGATGGTGTAATGCAGTGGTTCCTAAACAGTGTGATGGAAGAGGATAGCAGGTGAGGCAAAATGATTTGAAAGACAATCAAAGATTTAGAAACAGTTTCAAAAAATTCATATACTAAAAATAAATATGATTTCAAAATTTAAAATATTATTATGGATCACTTGCAATTGTATGCATGAGTCCCAGTATAAATAGTTATAAATAATTATTGATGGATTTTATCATTGTCATATTTTTGCATTATATCAAGTATTAAGAAAATTACTATATATATATATATATATATATATATACTAGGGTCCGCAATTTGGAGGAGATAGTTATCAATGATAATGTTCTGACTTTGAATCCGGGGTTATCTCCCTTTAATCCTCTATCTGTTTTTATTTTTAAATATACTTTTTATCACATAAAATTTGAGGCATGAGCAAATTTTCATTCCGAAAATGCAGCGCAGTAAAAAACCAAACAAAGTTTGGGAACCACTGAGAAATCTGAGAGTTGGGCTTGTCACATTCACTTACATGCAAATACACTTGGGAAAAGGTATGAATCCATCTCCTCCCCTCAGTTAAGGGTTAAACAGTAGTACTCGTATCTAGAAAAATCCTTGTTCTTCTCAAAAAATTGTGAATGAAATATCCACTTGTAAAAAATATTCTTACAATTCAAAATATGTTTCAGCTTTAAATAAGCCACAAAGAGTTGATAAATCTTAAAGAAAAACTATCTAGTGGCAGTAGTATTGTAAACATACAATGTGACTCTCACCCAAGTTTTCCACTAACCAATCAATGGTTACATCACTGGGGAAGGGCATACTGCATGCTTATAAAATGACATGTTGAAAGACAAATGTCCTGTCAAGAAATAAGAATGTGAACCCTGTTATAGGTGGGTGTTTTATTTAGGGCTTTGCCTGATCATTTGGGTGGGTAGGTAGGTGATACTTGGTACAACTGTCAGTTCTTCTCCATGCCAACTTCTTGCCCATTCATTCAAACCAATGTGGTGGCTGACAATATAAAATGGAGACTTTGTAACTGTTCAAATAGTTGTTTGTCTCCTGGAAATGGCAGACCAGAACTCTCCCCAATCCCCAGAAGAGACAGTATATTTTAATGTCTACCAAGATGCAACATTTAGTCATCGGGTATGAATAATTAAAAAGTAGGTACCTCCAAAGAAATGTGATACCCAAGGTTTAAAATGAAAAATCTTTTTTGAAGCTTTTATTTTAGTTTTAATTTCAAGCTAATAGATTAAATTTAATATTTCCATGTGTACTCACTAAAAATAATGTTTATCGCAATAAGAAATTATAGTGTTTATGTAAATTATTTGAGAAGAGTCTTCCTAATATTCTTTATAATCATTAAGTAATGCATATCAATTGTTATGGAGTAGCTGAACACCCTCACAAGATGGACTAGTCTAAGACTATTTAAACAGCACTCTCTCTCTTACTGAGGGAGAGGAGTTAACAATTAATTGTTTATTACATTAGTCTGTGTTCTCAAACGTGTACCATATTATTCTCCAGAATAAACTACTTCTTATTTTCTATATGTGTATTAACTTTTCTTATTTATGACACAGCATCAATATTTCATTTCTGTTTCTGATTCTATGAAGTTGTTGATAATATCACATGTTTTCTTATATACTGTGTGTTATGTTGTTTCAGCTTTGTCTTTCTGGGAATCACAGTAAACCATGCTTTGTCCTGCAGTTCAAAGGTGTAACTATTATGATGGATTGTGGCTTGGACATTGCTCAAGTACAGAACTTTCTTCCTTTGCCTGCAGCTACAAAGTAAGCCAGTTTTTCTTTTATTTAAATCCCATTTCATAAGTAATTTCTCTTTTCTTTAGATGTATCTGAATCTCTTGAAATGAACCATTACCTTGTATTTATTAAAACACACAGAGACTTCTGTGCAGATGCTTCTCTGAACACTTTAATCTTGACCTCTTCACATCAAATGTCTATCTATATTTCTTAAATGAGGTATTGTAATTATTTACACTATTCGGACTGTTGTCCTCATCTTTGTTGCCATATTCACAATCTTTCAACTGTTGTACACTCCAGCCTTCATCAGGTGATATTTCTTGGGATTTTGAACTGAATCCTTTATTTAATTCACTGTTCTAATTCCACATGCCATGCCTTTTGATATCACTGTTTCAGTTGATTTTCCTTGATAACTTTTTTTGTTCCCTCTGCTGTGACCACAACTCTTTGGGTCAAGTCACTTTTGGATCCATTCAAACAATGCTTTTATCCACTGGGCCATGTAAATAAAGTGTAGCAAAAAGAAGAGAGAGAAACAAAAAAGTGACTAGAGGGTTTGCTGGCAAACCAGCTGTTCTTCTTTGCCGTCACTTGCCTCAAAGAAATAAATTGCGAGACTCCTTTTCTCGGCCGTTACACCAGGCAGTCGTGAAACGGACACCCAAATCAAACGTGCCTACTTCAACCACCTCTTGGTCTACCAGTCTATTCACACGTCCGACTCCGTTTCACGAAGTCCGCCAAATGGCTCGCCTTCTGCTGTGCCGCTGGCGCCTCGCCTTTTTATGCTAGTCTGACACTGCTGAAATTTGCATGTGTACTGGTACAATCTCGTTTTGGACAAGACCGGTTTTTTGAAATCGTGTCTTCGACAACAGCCATGTTTTTTTTTGGATTTGTCATGCAAGCAAGACATGTTCGCACACATTTCGAGCTCTGTGGTAAGTCATCACATAAAGGGTCTGTTGCAAAATTTCAAGAAATATTACCTGAAGGAGATGGAGCGTGCAATGGCCAAAACATGAATATGGCAATAAAGATGAGGAAAACAGTTCAAATAATATAAATAGTGTAAATAAGTCAAAGGTCAGCTGATATCTATTTTCCTTATCCTCATAATCTCCACTTCCTACTGTCGTATCCTATTGGAACTCCAATTCTTTAACTCAAATAGAAATACTCACTCCAACAGTCAAAGTTCATCTGACAGACCGTAAGTTCATTTGGCTCTGCACACTCACATCTAGTATACTGCCCTAAAATACCAGGTTCATAAAACATCTTACTTTGTAGTTTTTACTGTCCAAAATTGTTTTTTCGTTTTTAGTTCTCACTTAGAAAACTTACCTTCTTGGAGCCCACCTTCAGGTCAGTCGACTCAGTTACAGAAAGAAGTGGTAAGTATTTTCCTTTGATAATTCTTGTCTGAATATTCTGAGGCAATGTGTTGTAATCATCAGTTTATTCAGACTAATTTTCTCATTATTTACATCTTTGTTGCTGTTATCACCATGTTTTGGCTATTGTGCCCTCCAGCCTTTCTCAGGTGTCTATCAGTCTGGGTAACCTTCAGGAAATTTTGAACTGATCCTTGTTATTTAATTTACAGTGGTAGATTTATTGCATACCCACTCATGGTGAGGAGCTCTTGGGCGATGGTATCAATTTGATAATAATGTTGCATTCTTCTTTTGTGGCCAGTGATTGCTAGTTGTTTTGATTTAGAGATAAAATAACACAGGGAATTTTAAATTTAACTATTTTATTAATGTTCATGTCGACTGGGGAGCAGTTCCAGACACGAAAGAGATCATGTCTACATTGTTTGACATGTAAGAACCAACTCCCTGAAAACCCTCTCTCTATATCTATTGTTCTCATGCTGGCTCAGCCAATCAAAATCAACTTCTTTGTTTTGTCTTCCATCTGACCTCAAAGGTTAACCTCAGGAAGTTAGCGCAGCAATACACTTCCCCTTAAAAATAATAGTCTGCTTAACTATTATTTAACAGATTGTTCTTGTTCCACTGTCCATGTCTAGGGACATCTCACTTTTTTTTTTTTTTTTTTTATAAAGTACTGCTTAGTTATTGTTCATGTTGTTTCCACTGAGTTTTAGTCTGTACTATCCAACCCTGGGATTGGATTCACAATTACTATGTTATCAAATTCATAAACCATTGCTATTGTTCTGGCCTAGTGAGTTAAACATTGGTTTTGGAGGCACAATGACTGAAATGTGATAATAACAACAAAAATAAGGACATTAGTCTAAATGTACATAAGTATAACTGCTCATTCCAGAAAGCAGTAATTTTCATATTGTATTATCTAGTGTACCATCTAGCCTAGGCTTACGCCCACATCACGTTGAAACATTGGTTCCCATACGATCACTGAAGTTAAGCAAAAATGTGCCTGGTCAGTACCTATATGAGAGACTGCTTGGTAATACCAGGTGCTGTAAACTTGGATGTGCAGGTGGTATAAGGGATAATGGCTCAGAATTGTTAATTGGGTAACCGAGTTCCAATTCCAGTTGCGTTTGTTATATTCATTTATAAGCAAATACCCTTGGAAAAGGTATGAATCAAATCCCCCAGCTATTAGTTAAATAGTAAGATTTTTATCAATAAACCACAAAAAATTCTTATAATCTAATAATATTTTCTGGCTTTAGATAACTTACAAGGGGTTGATAAGCCATAGAAAATAAATCCATAAGCAATTTAGCCTACTTTGGTTTGTGGCTTGCACAAAAAATATTTATAAGCTTTAAAGACATTTCTAAGATTTTCCTAAATGGTGCTGGAACCAATCTAATATTATTGCTCGAAAATTATGGAAAGATAAAAAAATACTTTCTAAAAAATAAATATGTACTTTTGGAAGCTATTTTGAAAAATTCTTTTTTTTTTTCTCTTAATTGAATCCTGATAGGTTTAAATGGATTGATAAGATCTTTTTGTATAAATTTAATTAAATGTGAGAGTTTCCTACAATTTTTTGATTTTTTTTTCCAATTTCAGAGTGAAGAATTGAAAGAATGTGGTGGGCGTGTATATGTTGATGGTGCTCTAGAATTTTCACCTCCTGAGGTATGTTATTGAATTTCTTTTGTGCATTTTCTTTTTTGCTTGCTTTGATTGTAAAAGGCAACAGGCAGAAATAATAGTAATGGTAAGCATCCATAGAAAACATGATTAGCTTTAACCCCGGAACACTACCAAGTTGATTAGCTAGAAATTTCAATTCTTCTACCATTTCAATGGTTTATTGCTGACGATGAAGAGTCTGAAAGTAGATGAGGCATCAACCATAAATCATGTGTTGTATATTGTATTATTTTGCAAGTGGGTGCATCGCTGAGTAGTTAGAATGTTTGCTTTGGAAAGTAGCTGAAAACCTTATCACAGGTTGATCCAAGTCTTGTGAGTGAAATTGGGTTAGATGGAACTGTTTGGCAGCCATCAATGGTTGTACTCACGCAAAGTCACAAGTCATTGTAACTGAGAGTTTGAGCATCAGTCAGTCAGTTATGTACCATATGTGATGCACAATTAGGCGATCATGTATCTTTTGACACATGACTGACGAGGCAGATTTTTTTTCCTGCAGTAGGTTGCCATTTCTTTCTGCAGTAGACAAGTTGCCATCCATAGCTATAGAACCCAGTCTTTCCTGCTATTTACCCATAGCTTTTGGGAGAAGAAGAGGATTCATACGTTTCCCAAGGGTATTAGCACATAAGTGAATGTAATAGATTTGACACAATATATGCTCTCTTCCAGAACTGTTCAGCATAGTTGTAGTATAAATGACAAGTGGGCTCTGTGGGTATTGAACAAACACAAATGTGCCTGAGCAGGTGTCTGCTACAAGGATAGTCTAGCAGCCCTAGCAGATGAGTATACCTGGAAACAAGTGACCGACCATTATAATAAGTGTCACACTTATCTTTTACTTTGGTCTAAGCTAAATGTCTACTTGGGAATTTTCGGGGTTTTCAGTATTGTTATGAAAATAAAAAAAATTCCATGATATCACCAATTTACACATACACGCTTACAAAGCCCTGAATTTATGAAAATACCAATTCCCTGAACTGAGGGCTTTGTCATTAAGGTTGTGAATTTTTTCTTCTGGATGTTAGTTCGACATTTTTGTTTTATAGCAACTTGTAATACTGCATGCTGAACTTTAGTACTCTGCATTATTCACATATATTATCTCCCTTCTACTGTATATGGTTGACCCTTAATTAATTAATTCTTAATTTCAGTCAAGACTGTTGTGGTTGATGCCATTGCAGGACATGACAATACCACTGTGAAATTCAAACACATTTAAATTTATAGTCGGTGTAGCCTGCAGTAGCAGGATAAACATTTTCCTCAGCAAATATAGTTGTCTGTATAGTGAGAAAGGTTAAAGAACAGAAATATCAGGTGCACCTATTATCTGCAAGAGAAGTTGTGAAGTTCTAAGTGATCTGGATACACTGCAAGTGTAAGCAAATCAAGCCCTTCCAACTTGTATTCTAGTGAGTGAATTGCTGCTAATTCCAACATTGTATCTTTTAGCCAGAAAGTTTTAATTTCTCTTCCTATACTAGTCTGGTTGGTTGGTTGATCTTGTTTAGTGACATATCAGTCTGTATGGGTTATTTAATGCCAAAATCTAAATATTTTGAACACAATTTTATGGATTCAGCTAACTTGGTTGTATGCCTTCAACTACAGATAAAATGCATTGTTGGTCATTTTGCTATGAAATATATTTTTGGTAAGTCTACTATATGTAATGTTGGTCATTTTTTTTTATATAAAAATGTATGGCTGGTATTTTGGCTTTCTTAGTGTTTTATTTGGGTGTGGTTCACTATTTGCCCATAGCTGGGACCCTAACAAGTGCTACCATCCTGGGTCAGAGTGAACCTGGAAATAACAATAATTAAGAGATGGTTCCATGCTCCTTAAAACCTCCAATCTCTAGATCAGAGGCCTTACTGTCAGATGTAGCATATTGTCATGCCCAGGACTAATACTTGCCTGTTTTCAGATCATAGAGAATTGAAAATGAGAGAAAGTAGATGAAGACAAAGTCCTGCAACACCAGTATTAATGTTGGCTGTGATAGGCCGAGAGACCAAAATGAACGAGATACAAGATTAAATCTTGAATTCTTTGTGATGATGATGTAATAAAAGAATTAAAGTTTTGCTTTTTCAAGTGTTGAAGATGAAGTTATAAGGCGTAATCTGTCTGGTTTGGCTAAATGTGCAGTGATAGATGGATAGATCTTTCTCTGGTTGTGACAATGCAGTTCCCTTTTTTTTGTGGGTGGGACTTGGGGACTTAGAAAAGGAGTAAAAGCTGTTTAGTCTCATGCGATGGTGGTTTTCTGTATTTGACCAAAAGTGTTTGTGACTATATCTGCAAATGATGAACAACATTAAGTGACTTCTAAAACCCTCCTAATACACTATATATACCTGATGGAGGCTGAAGAATATATCAGCCTAAATATCAAGGTGAAATAATAAAGATTCAGATACTCGTACCGAAATAATGTGTGTAATAATGAAAATAATCATAGAAGATAAGGCATCAAGTGGAAACATTATACTGGAGACTGTCTTCTTGTCATGACTTCTGATTAACACAAAGAGAAAAAAGGGAGAAACCATTCCAGAGAGGACAGGGACATATAAAGAGTAACAGAGTCATGTCCACCTGGGACTGAGCTTGTACTTCCATGTGCCTTCAGGTTATTCCATCACAAATCAACCAATGGCCACAGGTGAACCTCTCAGAAAAATCTGGGAAAATTTGTAGGTGTCCCTTGATCAAAATTATTTAAAAATTCCAAATATTAGATATGTATTGGACATTGGTAAAATGAAGCAGTTTGTTTGCATTAATTTATAAGATGCCAAAAATTGACAAACCATGATTTCAACATAAGTTGTTCTATAAAAATATGTTTTAACCCCAGACAAATGTTTGTCTACAAAACAAAAATTATGTCACATGACCTTCAGACATGTAGGAATATGTGGTAAAAATATATAATTTTCATTAAACTGCCTAACTGCTGATAAGAAAATAGTCAATTTTTTAAGGATGTTAAAAAAATTGAGCAAATTTCAAACACTAATACTGACATTCCTATAATAAGAGTGAATATGGTTACTGTGTAAAAATAATCTATGTGGTCATAAATGACAGGAAAACTAATTTGGATGTTGTATCTGACATAATTTGTAAATGAGAAGCTCTCAAAATGGACAGCGTGTTTTTGCATTTTGGCCATATTCAAGTCCTAAGCACACCTAAGCTGTTTATATTTTTGTAATCTACAGTAAACATTAACTATTGTAACCAATTTTCAACTCTGTATATGCAATATCCTTGGATCTATGAAAGTCAGAAATTTGTTGAAAGCTTTATTTAAATGCAGTGAGATTTCAAGATACTCTGATTTTAAAACTATTACAGATACAGAACTAATATTTGGGATTTATCAATAATTTTGATCTTAGAACACTTGTGAATTTTCCTAGATTTTTCTGTGAGGGTCACCTGTGGCTGTTGATTTAAGATAGAATGATCCCTTTTTGTTATTTGTGTTTTTAAAAATCAGTTGACTCTCTTTGTCAACCAAAAGAATGAACATGAGATCAATAGCTATGCCCCATGTTTGCCTTGTTGTTCCACTGGAACATTGTTAAACTGCAGATATAAGCAGTCTTATAGATTGCTTACATCTGTGGTTTAACAATGTGTATTTTTATCTTTCAGCTGTATCTCTACCCCTAGAAGTTGCTTTTTGAAGATACATGATTGTTTGATTTGGCTTAGTCATATGGTACCCTGAGAGAACCTCAGAAAACAGTTATGTGTTTTTATTAATCAATTCACTTGTTTTGTCTATTGTGAATTTATATTTTTCAGATTCGGATGGTAAATATGTCTCAGATTGACATCATCCTAATTTCCAGTTATACATGTATGCTGGCTCTGCCTTATCTCACAGAATACACAGGATTTAAAGGTATTATTTATGCTACTGACCCAACTGTACAGATTGGAAGGTAAGCCATTATTTCGCTTGTCTTATAATCTTTTCAAGTATTAAAATTAAGTTTTTCTTTTTAAGACTTTTACTCTGTGTGTCACACACATTTTTATTTTTGGTCTAGAGGTCTGATGAATGAAGCTAACTTGTAGCCTCGTGAAATAAAATTATTACCTATGGAATTTTAAGTGTTTGATATTCATTAATTAATAATAATTTTGTTCTGTCTCTGATATAGAACTCTCCTATATCCTATGGGAAATTACATATGGATTACCATTTTATTATTAATAATAATATATATTATTAATAATAAAATGGTAATCCATATGTAATTACAATGTGGGATATTTAATAGAAAAAATGATGGAAACATAAACTAAATGAATACTAAATAAAAATTGTTACCACTTTTTGGAAGTTAAAGTGGTATAAGGACAGAATTAAAAATATATTTATGGGTATGTCTCAATTAACCAATTAAAAATCAGATTTATGATAAAATACAAAAATAATGTCAGAGGGTGGAGGTGGGTGGGTTATATGTGAGATATTTAATAACAAAAATGATGGAAGCATAAATTAAATGAAATTGACTAGACTATATACCCAAAACATGTTAAAAATTTTTTTTTAATTCTTAGCATTCCCTTTTCTTTGTGAACATGGGTAATTGCATTAATATAAACATCACTTGAGTCAGGTGAAGTCCTAAAGGATGAAATATGTCACACAAAAACTTTTTCTAGTTTGTCATAGTTTTTTACCTATATATATATATATATATAGAGAGAGAGAGAGAAAGAGAGAGTGCGATAGATAGATAGATTTAAACACAGTTATAATTTGAAACTAGTAACTTTTATAAAATGTACTGTTTTTATGCCCACACACACATGAATGAAATATCAAAACAAAATATCACAACTGTATATTTAAGTAACAACTTTTTTTCCTTAATTTTTTTTCATTAAAAATATTCTTGAACAGGATTCACGTTTATTTTCATCAAATAATAGTTATTTTAACTCTTGTGTAATTTAAAAAAATTTTTTTTTTGTAAAACTATGAAAGTTAAAATTGTAGATACACTAAATAGTTAGGTTGATACTATATCTTGTAAAATGTTAGGGAAATCTTAGAAGTGTAATTGAAATTTGCTCAGCCCTTTATTGCAATCAAACAACTGTAATACATTATTTACAAACTTTAGAAAAATGCTTTCACAAATCAGAAAACATTTAAACAGTTATGAAAATGGATTCATTTTTAAAATTTAAAACAAATTGTATTGATGAAAGCAGAATCTACTTGGTAAAATGTTTTTTTTTTTTAAATTTATTTTTGTGGTGGTAGGAGCTTCAAAGAATTTTCTCTGTTATGAATTTCTAGAATATAGACTAGCTTTTACTGTGTATCTAAATATGGAGCATTGATTTGTTTGATCTCCTGGAAGAAAGAAGACCTTTTTCTAGGGTAAAGAAGTCAATTTGGGATTTTACTGCATAATAATGTCAGTCTTCATATTGAAAATGTTATGCAGCAAAAGATCATGGGGTTGGGATGGGAAGTTTTTTTCCATATATGTCATATTCTCCAGACCAGTCACCATCAGACTGTCAGTTATTTTACTCTATACAACAATTTTTCCATCAAGTTCAAGATATTGAAAAATTTGTCAGATAATCCATCAAATTAAAACCAAAATAGGTTTTATGATAGAGTACAATCATGGAAAGCCAGGAGTTAAAAATGTTAAGTAAAAAGTAACTATTTGTCTTAAGATTGTTGTTTAGTTTTGATGTCTTTTTAGTCTTTATTCATTTCAACTTTTATTATTTTTTTTATCCATGTGTAATTCTGAAACAGTTTTGAGAATGTTTCTGTTATTCCTGACAATAATGGAGAATTCTTTTTAGTTTAGAAGTAATTTTTTTATAGACAATTCCAGTTCTTCAATGTTTTTTTAGAAAAGTTCAAATTTTCTTTTTCACCATATTCTACTGGGAATTATCACAGATCCTGAAGTCTGGACTTTGAGCAGGCTATACCATATAAGATTTATATCCATTAAATACTTCAATGAACATTTTATCTGGAGAGCAAAATATGTCAATTGAAGAATTGTTGATGCTTCAAGAATTTTCTTGTAAAACTCGGGAATGAACCATTCTTGAAGAATTGTGATAAACACGTTAGGTTAAAATATATAAGACAATAAAGTTATTTGAAATTTCTCTCTATAATATGCTGTGTGTATTTGAATGTAATTTTATCTGTAACTTTTAGCTGGACTTGTTATCTCTCTTACATTGGTAACATCAAGTGACAGTGTTTTTGTTATGATAATAGCTGACTGAAAATGTTTATGAAGCCAGAATGTGAAAAACTAACTCCATTAAAGAGCTGACAACAACAATAATAACTGTAAAACATATTTTTAAAGACTCGGATGTAAAAGTCTTTTAATAATAGTAAGCACTTAACAAAATATCAGTTTCATATTTTCTATCATTTTTGATGACATTGGTAAACTACCAGGAAATATAAAATTATTAAAGAACTGAAAGTGAACAAGTCTTGAGAATGCAAAAATGGAAGAAAATGTATATGAATTGTGTAATTGCATGTGTGTGTGTAGGTCTTCATCTGACCTGTTACAAATGCTAGTTTTTAAACATTATCATCTCATCAGGCAGACAGTCTGATGACTGCATGCAATAACATGTAAGAAACTGGCAGTAGTAGCTGATCAGAAAAGAATACTTTATTATATAAAATCTAATTTCTCTGCTATTTTGGTATTGAGCACTTTGTCTTGTGTCCTTTTAATATACTTTTTTGGGTGTTATTTTTGTTATATAAATATAAAAGTGAACAGAGAAGTCAACACTTAGAGGCGACAGTCTGTTTCATACTAGATGCAATTGTCAGGCCACCTGAAGTGTTAACTTCTATGTTCACTTTTACATTTACACATGCTCTATCTCTGATATTGAGCACTATATCTCATAAATATAGCACATCTTAAGACTATATTTCTTCATATATATATGTGTGTATATATATATATATATATATATATATATATATATAATTTTTATTTTGTGTTTGGCAGGCAGTATATGGAAGAGTTGGTGACTTATGTTGAACGTAGTCCCAAATCAAAAGTTGCCTCAAAGTGGAAAACAGAAGAAATAATCAAGTGAGTACATTGTTGTTTTATTATTTTCTGTTTTCTTTCTAAATGAAACATGTATATGTTGGCATCACAAATATTGTAACACATGAGATGTAGATTGAACCATTGTCTCTGAGAATCCCTTGAAGATGCAAGTTTAACAGAGCATTTCTTTTTATACAGTAATTACAGTAATAATTAAAATTGACAAACACAAGCATTTTACTCAAACCTCAACTAATAAATTATGATTGGTTGTGATTATACTCCAGGTTTCTGGAGTATAATTTGGAATTTCTTCTGATTTGTGATTTTTTTTCAAAACTGTACAACTGTTGATTACTAAATCAATTACTGAAAAGATGTCATCTGCGATATTTTATGGTTGGCATTCAGTGTGGACAAGTAAAGTAGTTCTTTCAATAAAAAAAGAAATTTCCATATCAAAAATTCATACATTTAAAATGCAAAAGATATTGTTAAATTAAAAAAAATTAATTGCCCCCTAAAATACTGTGTTTACAGTTTGGGTATGAAAATAACAAATATAGACAGTGGAAGGTCTTAACGGGATGTGCGCATTTTTTAAATAGGGTAGTTGAGTCTTGCTTTATTGTAATGGCTTCTCATAGTATAATGGTAACATTTACTTAGCTTAAAAGTGTTTTCTTGTTGGCAGCTATATTTCATTTTGTAGGATTCTTGATCTATAGGCCTATAGATATTAAATTCATTGCTTGAAAAAAAGAAATAGAGATGTCCATTCAAACATGTATTATCATTGGCATAACTCATTGCCAAATATTGGGGTGCTCAGGATAGGAGGGTGTGGGGGATGGTGAGCTCTGGCTTTTGGGGGGGCTCGCTTTGTCTCTTTTATTTGACTTCTGGTGTTTTTGAAGTATGTTGGTTTTTTTTTTTTTTTTTTTGTGGACTGCTCTTCTCCAATTGGTTATTTCTGCAGCTTCCATCTCCCCAATTGACCGGATCAATTTTCTGTTCGCAGCAAGGTGTTTTTGAGGTTTGTCTTTTTTGACATGTGGCTCTATGTGGTCTCTTGTCAAATGCAAGCTCTGAGAAGTGGATTTGTTTAGGTATGAGAAGAAGAAAAGTCTTTGGGCATGAATGCCTTGGCTGCAAATTGTTTGAAGTGGTCCATGAGTTGTCACTCCATGGCACACACACTTCAGCTTGCACCATCTGCTGTGGCAAACCAGGGTTTGACACTCCAGGTTCATGATGACAGCTTGCCTTCAGCTGCCAACTTGACTTGTTTTTTGCTTACCTAAGTCTATATTAATTCATTTTGCATTTTCTACTCTTCATTTTTATTGATAATTTAGGTGTTAGTACTGTCAAAAGGCAAAATAATTTTATTATATGTTAAGTAATGACTTCATCTCCGATTTCATGTGTATCTACTAATATATATAATGTTTATAGTAATAACATATATATATATTTTTGTGTATGTATCACTTTTCTACTTCTCCATTCCCAGAAGGTTTTGTTACATTGAGATTGGTGGATTGGCGGCCTTCTTTATGTATTGAACACTTCTGATGATGTGGAATTAAAATTTTCTATTTTAAACTAGATGAATAAAATGCCATTATTTACAACTTAAATAACTTTTAGTGTGGATAAATGATAAAAGTTTTGTAATTGCATTGTACTTATAAAATATCCAAAATTTCAATAGTGCAGTTATTTTTTGATGGCACTGGTAAACTAGTGATATATAAGCCTGATTTTGTTGTTAATAGTTTCCTTGTTTCCTAATCACTGGCAATCCTTTTCTTCATGATTTTTTTTAATGAACAGTATACAGACTTAGAACCAAATGTTGCTAAAGCAAATTTTAAGTCAAAAGCTGAAAACTTCCGTATTTAATTGTTGAATCTAAAAAAAAAATTATCAGAAATATTTAGTTTGTTAGTGTAGAAAATGTAGTGATGGAGTAGTAGTAAATTTAGTGGGTAAATGAAATCTTACCTGTGTCTACTGGTTTAAATGCAGTTGATGCTAAAATACAATCATGAGTATTGATATTTTTTTATAACCAGGAATTATGTTTAATATATATATATAATTTACCTATACTGCAAAAAAAATGATAGCAATATTTAAGTAATTTTGCAATTGTATTGGTTATATTTTCTACTTGAGTAATTTAACATTTTTATTTATATAATTAACTTTCTTTTCACATGTAAGAAAGAATTCTTTGTTTTGAATCATTAAAAGTAAAAATAGCCAAAGAAAGCCAATTTGAAAGAAAAGCAAAAAGTAATATGTGAACAACCTGATCACCTCCATGCATTAATGTGGTATTTCATTAGTATGGCAACACTAGGCATATTTGCTTATTGCATTGAGTACTGTCTCCTGTTAACAGAATATCTCATTACAAAAAAAGCAGGCATCAAGCTACATGACTATTAAAGTCACATTGTGTTTTATCTTATAAATAATATTCAATGAAATAATTCATTTTTTTGAGTACAATCTATAATAGTGAAACTTTGACTAATCCCACTTTTTCCATTTATTAACAGCTTATTAGGCTTAGATGTGGTTAACTTCTTATTTTTTTAACAGTATTCATATTCAAGGAATTTATTGTAGAAGTAACTGTTTCCTACAGTTTTCATTATTAAAATCTTTTCTGTGAGAATCAACTTTTCTTTGATTTGTCAGGTAATCTTATATTTTTTTCCTCAGAGGTATACTCTCTTTGTAATCACAAAATAAAAATTGTTTTTCTTTTTATCTTGCAGAACTCTTCCTCCACCTGTGTGTGATGCGGTGCGGCCCATGACCTGGCAAAAATGTTACACTCTGCATGATGTTAATTCTTGCCTTTCTCGTGTGCAAATTATTGGATTTAATGAGAAATTGGTAAGGAGTTAGCTTTATTTTACTTGAAATTTATACTTAGAGCAAGTTTTTAGTAAAAGAATGTTCTAAATTCCTGTTAACATTGTATACCAACATTGCATGGCAAATACAAGAATATTGCAAATTGTTTCTTGCATGTCTGTTTGTGATGACTTGTAAACAGTTTGACAAAATTTAAATAACTTCACAAAGTAAACTAGAAATGATGGGATTTTCACATCACTTGCTGGTTCTTAGTTTTAACTGATGAAATTTGTGCTTACCAGCCAATATATAGGTTGTTTTTATCATTCACTTTTTGGTAAAGTAACAAATGTACCTCCAAAAAAAAAAACAGTATGTCAAAAGTATGTTATTTTGCTTGAATTATGTATGCGCCTTTGGTAATTTTTCTGGTTTTCTGAATTTTTTAAAATTTAAAATCTTAGTTATTTTTTTTTATAATATAGTAAATTATAAAAATTGCATTGTAATTGGTATTTTTTATAATCTTGTAAATATTAAATTCTTTTAAATAAACAATCTAATAAAATAAATAGTGTTTAATATTTTTGCTGGCAATTTTTGAGAAAAGGAAAATACATAGTTACTGTTTCATGCATTTGGGGTTTATTAAAATTCTAAAAATAACTTTAAAACAATAAAGATTGTCAAGAGAGTATACAGTAATAGCAGTGTCAAGAGAAAAAAAAATCCTTTTTTTTTTCTTTTTCTTTGCAGGTACATTTGTTAAACTTTTCCAGTTATTCTTTAAAATCTTTTCTATAGTTGTACAACTGAATTTGCTAGTTTTACAGATTCTGTAATTCATGTTGTCTTTTGAAATCTGAAAATTTTTTTTTGTCTTTCAGGAATTTTTTGGTGCTTTGACTGCAATGGCAACCAGCTCTGGTGTTTGCCTTGGAAGCAGCAACTGGATTATTACTTCTGGTTTTGAAAAGGTGTGTGATGAATATAAATATAGAGAATGATTCTGTAGCTGTAAGCTTTAAAGAATAGATAGCTTCAACAATTTGTAATTAGCCTGGGTAGTTAATTTTGAAGAGGAAAAATATCTCAAGATTTGATTCAAAATGCAAGTCAGAAAAGCCCCAAATATAACATAACTGAACAAAATAATGCAAAGCATTTTTCATTCAGTATAATGGGGCAGGTGTTTGTTTACTTGAATTTCGAATATCTTCTATATACTGTGTGCCCTTCAAAATGCAGGTGATCACAACTTCCTACCTTTTGTTGCTCTTTGCACTGTTTACCTTTTTACTATGCCTCCCACTTTCTGTTCTGCCATCCATTTACATAAGCTCATTAGGTAGGTTACTTGCTGTTTCTCTTTGTACCGCTTGTCCTGTAAATGTCAGTTTCCAAGCCTTCTTTCCTAGTTACGTACCCCACAAATTTCAATTGTCTCTTTCTGATTTGAAGCAAATAGTGTTCTTTTTGTTCCTGTTTTCTTTAAAACTTAATTCTTGTTTATATTCCTTGTCCATAAATCTTTTCTAAAAATGTATAAAACTTATGAATTTGTTTCCTTAAAATGATTTTGCCTTTAGATTTTCTCTAAGTATGTCTCAGCTGTCCTTTATTTACAGGGCAATTCTGAAAAGTTCTCAGCCTGGCTAAGAAGCCCTTCCAAAAAAAATCTGATGTTTGGTCATTTGGTTAGATTTCAGGAAGTGGATTAGGCTGAACTTAACAGTACTCACTTATTTTTGTATATTGTATATTAAATTGAATATCACCAACCGATACAACAATAGAGTACAAAAAATCCATCTGGCAAATGCTTTTCAGTAATACAAAAATATACCACATAAGATGTAAAAAAAAAAAAAAAAAAAACTACTACAAAAATTTGAAGCCTTAACTGTAAAAGTAAACAACTTCAAATCAGTAAAATTTTATTTAATTTAGGAATGAACATACATTCTAAATACATTTCACAATAAAAAAAAAAAAAAGGAAAAATCAGCACAAAGTATCATAGGAGAATTCTATGTCTATCTTGGTCAGCAAAAGCCACATGGGAAAGGCAAGTGTCTTCAGTTGTGGTAAATGGAGGAAGCTTTGATTTCATGGTGTTGTCTTTGTCTTCTGCTCCAGTTCTGTAGTTTACTTCCAATAGAAAAGTTGCATGAAAGACATTTTGCCACCATCAGTCCTAAACGAAGAAATTAAAAAACTTTTTTCTTTTATTTACAAATAAAACTTATTTCTAGATTGATGGAAGTCATTGTGTGTGTGGACTCTGAATGAATGCTTGTGCCGTCAACTATTCATTCTTCATACTTATTGCAATTCCAGATTGTCCATTTGGTAGTGTTTTATTAACAGGTACTATCTTACTGAATTTATCACATATAAGTAGACATTTATTTCACATTTTGCCATAAATCCAAAGTTGAAGGTGATGCTCACAAAAAGATTCATTACATGAATGGTTTCTGGATTATGTCTTATCTGCCTTTTCACTTGTTGTCAATGATAAGCCATGAAAATAGTATGAGAATTAATATTCTTTTCCTTCTCAAGAATCTGAAATAAGAAAAAAAATTTAGATAATAGACCAAAAAAATTTAATCCTTTAAAGGATAAATAAACTAAATTATTCCTCAGGAAAACACATTTAAGAATCTACTTTTGGGTCATCCTGCGTGTGCGAGTGTGTGTACATATGTACTTATTTATTTTTATATTTATTTATTTTTTGTACATACATATGTATGTACTTATTTATTTTTATATTTATTTTTTTTATATATATAGGGTGAGGGGATACTATGAAATTTTGATGTCCATCTTAAAATTTAAATTGGTTGAATATAAACATTCATTTGCCTGAAACTGAATGGTTGAAATAGGTGTTTGTTACTGAGGATAAATAAATTTTGGCATGTTGTTTTTTAAATAACTTTTCTGCATCTATTTAAAAAAGAAACAAATGTCTATTTTCAGATTGTCTATATTGCTGGCTCTTCGACATTAACCACACATCCCAAGGTAAGTGAATACTTTTTTAAAGTTTTGGAAAATCTTTTCTCTTTTGAATTTTTCAGTTTTAAAGGAAAAATAATCGTGTGTTCATAAAGTAGTTATCACATAGTGAAGAGATAATGGTCATATAACTTGGATGTAGTTTTTGTCTTTTATTGTTCATAAACAATGATGATGTTTCTTAAGTGTACACTCTACATCATAGTTATGATAGCTTCAAGACCCTACTTGATACTAAGTGGGAGACTGATGATAATAAAGAAATGACATGACTTTATCATTTCTATATATTAGATCATTTGAGAGGAAAAAAACAAGATGGGGATTAGCCACCATAGAGTTCATACACTTTATATACACACACACACACACTAATTGCTGTATATGGCTAAGAAGACCTTATAGCAGCTCAGGCTGAGAAATCAGGACTGTGATTCGAATTCCAGTTGAGTTCGTTATATTCACTCATGCACAAAGATCCTTGGGAAAGGTATGAAGCCATTTCTTTGTTTCATCATGGCTATCGATTAAATAGTAGGGCAGACTCTGCTCTTTAGTCTTGGTTGACAACCAGTCTAGGAGAAGCTCAACTCTGAATTCAAAACCTGATGAGGATTGTTTGAAGACCTTGTGGAACACTATAAAATTTTTACCACAAAATTTATATAATGTTATAAAAATGACTTTCTTTTTCTTTAAAAGGAAGCTTTTTCCTCCAAAACTTCTTCAGAAAGATTCATTAGTTGGCTAAACATTTATGTTTTTTAGAAGCTGTTCATATCAAGCTTCATTGACCAACTTTGTGCAGGCAGGAGAACTTTCTTTGTTTTCTGTGTCTCATGGGTGGGTTGTAAGTACAAAATCTTTTGTTTTGTACTCACTAGAAGCTTATTTACATCAATTTATTGTTTTAATAATAAATTTATTTATAGTTGTGGTTCCTTGTTTACCCCTTCCCATACACTTTTCAGTTTTGCTATTTATGATTATTTTTTTATTTTGTATGTTTGGTTTTTTTTTTTTTTCAACAAATCTTTTTGTAGAAGTCTTGGATGAAGAAGCTTCGTTTTAAATATGCTCTGTCATTTTGAAAACACATAATTTATTTATTTAAATGGATTATTTTAATCTGACATTTTTTTCTTGTTACTATAAACATTATTTTTGGTCCATACATGTGTTTTAAGTTGCTATCCCTATTTTTTTATTTTTAACCATGTTATCATGGTTTTGTTTATTTTTCTTTTACAGCCAATGGAGACAAGCCCCTTAAAAGAAGCTGATGTATTAATTTTGAGTTGTTTATCTCAAAGACCTTTGGCAAATCCAGATTCAATGATTGGTGAATTCTGCATGAAAGCAGGTTTGTTGATAGTGAAGAATTTTTCTCATTTCACTTTATAAAAGCTTAGAATCCTGAGATTGAGTTAAAGAATAAAGATAGTTTGTTGCAAACTGATCCACTTTTTTCTTTAAACTCTTAATTATTTTAGTTTGAAGAATATGACAAATGGAAAACTGCATTTGTGTATATGCTTAAATAATAAATTGTTAATTTTTTTATTTTGGTTTTTAAAATAGGATTATGGCTTAAAGACGGACAATAAGTGAAAAATTTGATTACCAAACAAGAAAATATTTACACTATTTACATTGTTCAGACTGTTGTCTTAATCTTTGTCATATTCATGATATACATTGGATTTCGAATTGAACCTTTTGTACACCAGGATAGATTGTTCTAGTTTTGCATACTATCTCTTTTTTGGATATCTCCATTTCACTTATTTCTCTTTAGTAAGTCAACTCTCTGCTTATCTCTACTGTGGCCTGGTATTGAACTAACAACTCTTTGGATCAAATCACTGGTTCACTTCAAGCAATGCTTTTAGCCATGTGTCTTTGGACAACAGTCTGAACAATGTAAATAGTGTAAATAGTTATACCACCTCATCTCAGAAATATAGACAGATGTTAAATAAGAAAGTGTTATTGATTTTGTAAACATTTTATTTTGAGCATGGTTTAATAGAAAGTATCTTGCATTGATCTTTTTATAAAGAAATTCAGATCTTTTTTAAACTCGTTTTTTTTTTTAGCTTCTCATGATTTATCTTTGTTTTTGTTTTCCTTTTTCTTTCATAGCTTCAACAATTAGAAATGGTGGCAATGTACTTGTACCATGTTATCCATCAGGAATCACCTATGATCTCTTTGAATGCATGTCTATTCACCTGGATAATTGTTTATTACCTCATGTGCCAATGTACTTCCTTTCTCCAGTTTCTGACAGTGCCCTAGCTTATGCTAACATCTTTTCGGAATGGTAAGTATTTCATTTGATTCTTAATTATCACCTTCTATGTATATTACATGTTTTGTTAAAAAAAAAAACAGTAGACATTTTATGTCTGTTATATTACATGATCTTTATTCATTTATTTTTTCTAATGTACAAAGGTCCTTTCACAAATGTGGTTGTTGCGTGTGAATGAATTTGCAAAAATTCATGTATAGTCCAAACTTTCAACTCGCATTGAGCCATCATCAGGAGCTTTGAAGAGAAAAGAAAATTAAGTCTGTTTTAACAAGTAGAATGTATCATTATCTTTTGAAAGTGTCATTATAGTTTGGAAAAAAAATACATGTTTAGCAGAACAATTGCTGCCCAAATATACTGAATTTGACATTAAAAAAGAAAATTTACTAAGTTTGAAAACTACAGTAAAAAAAATGAAACAGAAAAACCTTGAATTTAACAGAAATTGTTTAAGCAAAGTTCTTGCTTTCTCTCTCTCTTTCATATATGTAAGTAAGTATATATAACCGTGTGTGTGTGAGGAGGCATAGTGGAGTAATGGATAGTGGCTCAGATTGAGGAATCGGAGAGCTGATTTCCTTACATTCACTTATGTGCAAATACCCTGTCTAGCAGAAGGGCAACTCTGAATTCAAAACCTCCAACTATGGACCAACCTGCAATTGGCCAAGTATAGTGAGTATGGTACACTCTTGAAGACAGTCAATCAAGGAGGAATTCCTCCAACAGGATTGAGAAGGCCCTGGATTTGGATCCAATGTGCTTTTGGCAGTCCTAGGGGTGTGTGGATATAGACAGACACACAATATATATATTCCTTTCTGTTCAAAGTGTATTATGGATTAATACACTTGTTATTACTTATCTACTGTGAATGTATCACTTCTAGAATCTTTACAAGACTTTCATGATATAAAATATTCAAGTTCATAAAATTCAGTTATAAATTGCTTGTATCACCTTAGATACATATTGTGCTTAATTTATAGTTTTATAGCCAAAGTATCTAAGATATATATATAATGAGGAAAGGTGGTAATAAATTTATTCTATCAGATCCAACAACTTGAAAATATTTATTTTCTTTTCATATCAAATCTGTTAATGTTGCCAAATTTGAAATAAGCCTACTCCAAGTAGATCTGTTTATTTTACTTCTAGTTCATACACTGTATTGTGCTACTATTGTGACCATAACACATCTGACCACAATTTTAAATGCTAATCTGGTCAGAAGTGAAAAAAATTCACTAAGAAGAAAATGTTTTTGAATGTGTGCTGTTCGCACAAAAAAAGCACTTTCTGGTTGTCAGATATGACAAGGTAAATTTATTGCCCATTTTCCCAGTTTTGTCTTCAGTTCCAACCTAAAGATACCTACATTACACATGTAGGGAAAATGCATGGTCTATAAAAGAATACCATATTGTCTCAGTGTATAATTTATATATATATATATATATATATATATATATATATATATATATATATATATAAAATAAAAAATAGCTGGGGATTCATATTTAAGGATACTCATCTACTAGGGTGGCTAGCCAATCCCTATTGCAGACACTCGCTCAGGCACGTTTGTGTTTGCTTAACACCCACAGAGTGGTTTATACTGCAACTGCAAACCTTAGTTACTGTTTCTGGGAGAGAGTGTGTTATCTAGTGTGAGCAACAATTTGAACAAGGCCAGCATGCTCAAACCCTCAGCCATGGTGACTTGTGGCTTCATGCTAGTACAGCTATCAATGGCCCCCAAGAGTTCTGTCTACTCAGTTTCACTCACAATGCTTGGGTCAACCCGTGATATGGTTTTCAGGTACTTTCCAAAGGTGCCACATGCTGGGATTGACCTCGATCCAGTCCGATAACATATACATACAGGGTGCGATGGGTAAATTGTCGCAATTTTATATTTTTAATTTTGCACGTGAGTATTTGTTTTCAATTTTGTCAATTGCAGTATATAGTAGGGTCAGTTGGGCACTGTCTGTGAGAAAAAGAGCACCATGATGAAATTCCCACTGCCAGAAATTTGGAAATGGCATGCCGTATTGCTTGGTATTCATGCTAGAAGCTCCAATATGAACATTTCAGGGTGTCAATCTTAGGACAGGCCAGGAGATTTGGAAAGAGTTGGATGAGTCTAATGGGGATTATGAAGGCACAGCAGATTATGCTGATCATTCTGAATAGAAAAGAACTCAGACAATTTCTGTGACCACATCACCCCTTACATCTAGCCACCTAACTCCCCAGGCTGCAACCCCCTTGATTATTATGTATGGGGTGCAGTTGTGCAAGAGACCAACAAAACTCCTTGTAACACCAAAGATGAACTGAAGGTAAGGATTATGGCAGCATTCACCCGCTTAAACAAGGAAACCTTCCAGAAGAGTTGAAAGAGATTCTAAAGTCATTCGGAAGCTGTGGTTGAAGCCACTGGTGATTTTATTGAATAAATTTACTCTTTAGTATTTCCAGATATTTTTGTGTAATTTTGGTAAATATTTCTGTTAAAATGAAATGTCAAAGTTATTTTCATTTTTGCATAATTTAAATGACATTTTATCCATTGTAGGCAATCTTTTATGAATGCAAAGTTTTCATTGGTTAGAAAATAATTTTGTGCATAATTGCAAAAGTCTTTTTCTCAAATTTGCAGGAGTGATGAAGGGAGTTATTATTTTCTAAATGGTCCAAAAATAACATGTGGTAGGTCTACAGCTATGTTCCTTAAGTATTTTGGCAGGATTTGCCCTTGTAATTATTTTTTATCAAACAAACATTCTGATTTAATTATGGGATTTTACTGGTTAAAAATATGATTTAATTCTGATAATTTTTACATTTTACACTTTAATTCATTGAATTTGATTTTTACTCTTGTCTACAAAATGTTGAGTAATGACTGAGTGACAATGAATTTGATTTTGTTGCATTTCAGGTTATCAACTGTCAAACAAAACAAAGTCTACCTGCCAGAACCACCATTCCCACATGCTGAGGTGATAAATTCAACCAATTTTATCTATTGTTCTATACCATTGAGTTTCTATTATTTTTATTTTTTATTTTTTTCAATATTTTTATATAGAACGGAATAATCTTAAAAATACACTGGAAATCATGTTCTTATTAAGTGTGTGTAGGAGACAGAAGTATTCGTAGATGTCGTACAGGGAGGAGAATATTTATGAAATGGGAAGAAGGAAAGGAAAAATATTAATTCAATTAACATTAGGTCATTAAAAGAAAAAGTGAAATGCATCCAATTTATATTGGGATAATTACAGATCAACATGCAGGCAGTTCCAATGCAGCTGCAGAGTTATTAATGTTCATATTAATCTGTGCAATTATGAAAAAAAGTACAAATCAATATTTGTGTATTCCCTGAGAGGAAAAGAAAAGAAGGGAAAAAATACAGATAGGGAGGAGAAAGGTAGAAGAGAACAAATACAGAGAGAGGGATAAAAAGAAGTGAAATGAATAGAGCGAGGGAGAGGAGTAGGAAACAAATCTATTGGAGAAGGTTGAGAATGCAGAGAAGGAAGGAATTTAAGAAAGGAAGAGGTGTAGAAGCAAATAGAGAGAGGGAGGAAAAGAGGAGTGGAAAAGGTATGCTGATTGAAGATACATTAAATGTATTCAAATTGTTATATGGTGGTTATAATTTATTCTCGCATTAATTAGAATTTTAATCTTCTCTAGTCTATAGAATGTTGATATTTTGTACAATAGTTAGGCTATCATACATTTTTATCATTGATTGTCAAATGAGTGACAAAAGAAAGTTTTCCACTCTAAGGGGAAAAATGTTTTTTTATATATATATATATATATATATATATATATATATAATAATATTTCATCATTTTATATCATTAACTTTACTAATCTACTTTTTGTATGAATGATTCATTGTAATATAAATTGAACTGCACCACATATTTGATATATATATATATATATATATATTATTAATAGTGAAAAGAATTACGAGGTAATAATTCAAAATAGTGGAAGAAGCAAAAAAAACTGTTATTTTTTTTAAAGAGGAGGAATGTGACCTGCGACCCTAAGAATAACTCCTTTATGTGATTCATATTTTGAATAGCTTCTCTTGGGACTGCTTACTTCTTTTCTTCTGCTCAACATTTGTTCCATTGTCACAACATCCTAGTTGTTGGTTTGCAATGCTTTGCATCACCTGTCTCCTAGCTCATACCCTAAAGTCAGGCCATCTTGATTTCTCATAGAAAGTCAAAAGCTATCTTTTCACCAGGTGAAAGGTTTTCTTTTAATAATAAATGGCACAATACAATGGGCTCTGTGTTGGCCAATTTTATTGTCTCCAGCAGACTAATGAAGAATCTTGGAGGGAAGAACTCTTTTATTTACCAGTAAATCTTGCCTTCTTGCTAATTGCTGCTTTGTCAATTCACAGACCAGTAGAATGGCCCCAATACATCCTGCTTCTTTTTCCTTGAAGGATTTATGACCCCAATCAACTAATCTTGTCAGATATATCATATTTCAGTAATACAATAAATTTCCAACAACATGAGTGACTGTTTATTATTTGGGAGTCTTTTTTTTTCTTTTAACCTTAAATTATTCTACTCTCAAAATGTTACACATTTTTGTAATCTTATAAATTTTCTGGATTAATCCAGGTGTCATTTATTTGTGGCTTTAATTGGTAATGTTAAGAGTTAACTCTATTTGCATCACAACTATGCTAACAGCTTTTAGAATTATTTGTTTATAAAATCTATGATGCCTAAAAATTGTATCATCTTTCTTTTGATTCCTTTAATGTCTTTAAGTTTCATTTTTTTCTGATAGTTGATTTTGGTATTTAACACTGCAAGACTTTGGTAACAATCATTTCATGAGATGCTTACCAACTTATCAACACTTTACATTTATTCATATTAATATCTACATTAACCTTTCATGCTTGATGAATGAATTGAACATGTGAAATTTTAATGAGTATATCCCTTATCATAATGGAACATTAGTATCTGCACAAAAAGTTTGCCTAAAGCAGTGTCTTTTCACCTGTATTTTGTAACTGTTTTCAATTAATAACATCTGTTCTTTTATTGACTTTATAAAGATGTAATTGTTAGCAGATTTTAATGATACCATTTTTATTTTTTAAATGTTACACAATGTTTGAATACAAGTTGAAATCATGTTTGAAATGACATAATATCTATAACTTTGGGGAAATGACCCTGTATATTCTGAAAGCAAACACATCTCTACAAATATACAAGAAGAAATTTTCTTGAAAATGTATATTTTTCTTAAAAGCCACTGACTTTCTTTTTTAATTATAATTCCAGTTGTTAAATTCAGGCCGACTGCAGAACTACAGCAACATACACAGTAAGAAAGATTTTATTTTATCTGGATTTCCTTTTATCATATCTCTTTTATTTATATATATATATATATATATATATATATATATATATATTAAAGAAAAACAGACCACTTTATATATATATATAAAAATGTGATGTTATAACATATTTGTGATAGTATTTTTGAATAAATACTATTTGCTCTATTCTGTATTGAGCACACTTTTAAGAATAGTGTTTTTGGTTATTGGAAATTTATTCTGTCTGCACCAATCCTATACTTAGGTGTGTGTGTATATATATATATATATATATATAATATGGGAGAGAGAGAGAGAGATCAGCCTAATCTGGCACAAGTGTGGGGCACACACTCATTAGTAACAAAGTAACTTCCGTAGCTAATAGGCTACCAAATGAGCTTGTTGGCCATTGCTGTGAGTTGTATGCCTATGTGTGTATGTGGAGAGTTGTGTTCAAATTAAGTCATATTCTAAAATAGCCTCATCAGATCAAGACTTTCATATGGATGTCATGCATGGTACCAAACTCGTTCAGAAATATCTAAACTGTCAGCTGTATACAACCATTTTCTCAGATCAGGGATTAAAAATGGCTTCCAGCAAATGAAGCCTGTAAGTCTTATCAAGGACCATTCTTCTTCAAACCTTGTGGTCTGGTCTTGCAGAAACAGAAAGAACTGTACCAAATAACAGAAACTACTCCACTTGAGAACTTTCAACAGCAGCAACAACTAAAATGGATAGCACATGTAGCTAAAAAAGAAAATAATGACACAATCAAAATGTCGATGTTCCACACTATTTCAAATAAAAGGTTAAAAAAAGAAGCTTCCATCAGTACTGGAAAGAGTAGTAACAGTGGACTTGAGAAATCTAACTTCTTAAAAAATTGTTTTAAGAGAAAGATTTTATAAATTTTAACTGAAAGTTACACTTGCTGCTCTTTCGATGAATGCTGAATGTTTCCTTGTAAGTAAGCAGCTAATATTATCATTGATTATTATACATATAGTGATAGAGAAAATTCTGGTGGTGGTGGGGCAGGGAAATATGGCAGTCATTGTTTTATTTTAACACTGTCAGAATGTGTTCAGATCTAGAAAATAGCCATTTTGAAATGAAAGGTGTGGGCACAAAAGACATGAGTTTCACAATCTGGATTAAATTTAGGAATGTTTACAAAATACCGTGTCCAAAAATACCAATCCTTTCAAATTTTATACACATTTTACTGTTATAGTCTGTTCATGATTTGCTTTAAAAAAAAAAAAAAGAAAAAAGCAGTCAAATTGAGAAAATGAATGTTTGCAGCAAAATAACTACCTTTCCTTTCATGTATTTCTTTACTATTGATATAACACACACACACACACACACACACATACATATATATATATATACACACACACACACACACATACTTGTAAATCCATTGAATATGTCCAGATTTTAGACTTGTAACAGTAAAAAGTTAAAAAAATAATATATGGTTGCATTTGAACCTGATATATTGTTGCACACTGACTTTACTGCTCTTCCTCTATTTCCCTGCTTTACTTTAGTCCTTGCACTTTTTTTTTTTTTTTTTTCAGAGAAATGTATTATAAATCATGAATAAAGTGATTGTCAGTTGGCAGGAATTAAAGTAAACATGACTGACAAAACAGAATAGGGATAATATATACACACACACACACACACACACACACACATATATATATATATATAACTTTATTTTTAGTGGATACTTGTATTTGAGTAGATGCTCTGGGAGAAAACCGTCATTAGATCTGATGTGCTTTGACTTCTTGACTACAGGGGGTGTTGATGGCCAAGCAAATTGCGAATAGTGCCTTTAAACACAGATTTTCTCTAACTCTTGAAATAGACATATCTGTTCAGTTTCATATCCTAACATAAACAAAGCAACTTGTAAAGAAATGGGGATGGATTTATTTTATTTATTAATCTGATAGAATTTTATTACTTAAATATTATTTTTAGTAGATACTTGTATTTGGGTAGATGCTCCATTTTATTTTTATATAAAGGGTAAAGGATGTGCTGAAAGTTCTTAGCCCAATCTGTTTACCAAAATTTGATGAAATAATCAATTGGCAGAATTTTTTATTTTATCCTTTCCTAGTTGAGCTTAGAACTTTTCAGTACCTCTTTCTTATATAGTTAAGATTATCTGCAAAGAGCAAAAATGTATTTATAACTCTAGGCTATTGAAAAAAATTGTCTGTGTATTTGATTGATTGATTTGTTTCTTATGGCTTAAAACCTTTTTACAGGTTATTTAAAGGCAGAAAATATTTTTAGATTGTAAGAAGTATTTGAATATAATAATGATTTACTGATACACGTCCTACTAATTAACCCATAGCTGGAGAGAGAAGAGGTGGATTCATACCTTTCTCAAAAGTATCTGTGCATAAGTGAATATAATGAAACTGACTGGAATTGGAATTCTTCTTTCTGATTTTCAATTCCGATCCATTATCCATTACACTACCCACACATCCAAGCTTACAACCCTTTATATTCTCAAGCAGTTTATTGACTAGGCTTGATATTGCTTAACTTTGATGGTTGTATGAAAACCAATGTGGACTTGGGTGCAACTATAGACACACAATCTCTTATCTGAAAATAGAGAGACTCTACAAACTGAAGTTTTTTCTTTGCATATTGACAATTCTATTTGACTGAAGATAATAGTTGTAAACTTAATTTGATTCAGTTTGTACTTGGCCATGGCATTGCACATGTCCCATGTGCATTATCAGCTGTACTTTTGATATCTTGATTTATGAGTTAACTAACAAAAGATCAACTTTGAAAGAAAGATTCAAATATTGATATTTATGAATCTTAGCCTTGTATGACATCAGGCCAGATTGAATTAGGAAGATTGTTATGCCAATCTTCTAAATAAAGAGGGTCTGCCTTTTTGGAGAATCAGCATTTTAAGTTTTCATTTTCACTTGGGATCTCAAATTAACTTCTGGCACTGGTGAGAAATGAGAAACTATTTCAATTACAAGGAAAATCCTAATTATTGACTTATAAGACAAACATTTCACATTTGGAGGAACTACTTTTCACTGCAATTCTACCAAAGCCCCAGAGAAGTCCATTTCATGCTTCAGTGGTCATAATTCCAGGACACTGTAATATTGGCATAATTTAAAAAAAATTTAAATGTCCTTCTTATTTACTAGTAAATATGATATTAGCTTAGCTTAGTGTCATATGCCCTAGTTGACGAATAGGTTATAATGCGATTATACACCGACCAGGAGATAAATGCATTATCACATCTGTGGAGAGATACGGGCTATCTCTCCCAGATCATGACAAATGGACAATTAGTAAACAAAAATATTTTAAAGAATACTGTTTGATTAGGATAACCAAACAGTAATCTTTTCCCAGGTTCGCTTCAGTTTCAACATGAATACTGATCCACAATTCAAGAATGAATGATAAGGCGTAATGAATTTTGATATACGAATTTTAATATGTACATAATTACACAAAATATTAAAATAAAAGAAAAATATAAGCATGAGTAAACATCCGACGACCAGATCTCAAGACTTATGTTGGGATGCCAAAATATGCCTAAATCCAAGTGGATTCAACTGAACCCGAACGGATAGAAAATATAAGTATGAATAACTACGAATGCAGAAATCAACACATAACCAAAAGAGATGGGATAGGAGTTACATATTATTATTTTGACATGTGGAAAGGTGTTTGTAAGAACATAATATTTATGGATGCATGTGTATCTTTCTAACACGGGTCCAAAAATATATGATTACTTATCTTTATATTCAGTTCTCTCTTTTACTCATTGTCCTTTCTTTTCTCTCTCACGTTTCCCCTTTTCTTTCTTTCTTTTTCTTTATACAAATCCAATTTCATACACGATCTGGCTGTAACAGAGATATACACTTTCTTCCTCTCTGTGGTTTTTTCTTTTCTTTCTTCTTCGTTACACAATTCAGCTTGCAACAGAGATATATACTTTCTCCTTTTCTTTCTTCAAACGTAGGCTGTATTCTCAGCATACAAATTTCCTTGCGTCTTCTATGATAAATATCTCAATTTATCTTCTTCATTTTGGAGTTAATGAACAGAAATACATTCCTTATATTTCTTATCCAGAGTTGCCTGGGATGAATCGGACAAGTTCCATCATTACCAAAATGATTCTCATCTTTCAGTTCATAAGTTATCAGCGCTTCGATTTTGAGTCTTGCTCCTTCAAAGACAAGACAGCAACTGACTTCCAAGTAATTTTCTAATTCTCACATGTCCTGTGTTTTGGCGCGAATTCCAGCTCCTGCTGCTTCATGACCTTACGTCGGTCCACTGTCTAGATTCTGTCTAGACATCTGTTGCTACAGATAATTGTGTCAGTCAACCTCTTGACTTGCTTTCCTAAAATGTCACGAGACTTCCACATGATCTCTTCTGTTGTCAGGCGGAGATTAACCTTAATATATGTGTGTATGCATGTTTGGGCTATCTGCATCTGTCACATTAGTCTGACACAATACCATAACAGTAGGACACCTATTGGAAATCAAACTTGATGCATGTGTAAATTGGTTTTCAAAACAGGTTTGTTAACCTTTATTACTCTATATGTTGTACAAAAAGTTTATCCTTCCACTGAAAGTGACTCTGATCCATGAACAATAGTGTGTTTGAATTTCATAGTTCCTGCTAGGGCAACAGAAAACAACTTTAAGTGGAATTAACAATAAGTATACTGCAATTAAGAAGTGTTGAAAAAGAATGTAGTGGAAAGGGAAGTAATATTAATAATGCAGTGTACTCTTTAAAATTTAAAAAAAATAAAAAAAAATTCAATTTCTGGTTCCATGGAGGGAAGAAATTAGTCAAGCAGGTAACAAGTCCAAATAGCTAATATTGTTGTTAGAGATATGTGAAGTAGAACAATGAAGAGGAGGAAGTTAAAGTAATTCAGTATCAGTCAACATGGAAAAATCTCTTTGTTTTCCCTGAGGTGATGGATTATTTTTTTAATCTCTTTTGTAGGTGGACTTAGTAATGGCTTTAAAACTCCATGCATTGTGTTTGCTGGGCACCCCTCATTGCGAATGGGGGATGTTGTTCATTTCCTGCAGCTCTGGGGTAAATCTTCTGCAAATGCCATAATGTTCACAGGTTGGTTATTGATGTATTCTTTTTATTTTCATTTTTCTTGTCTTTTCAATTCAATCGATTCCTTGAAGACCCTCAAAAATTGATCCTGAATTTTCTTGAGGGTAATCTAGGATTCGTCCTTCATTAAGGTCAAATTTCATGAAACCATTTAATAAGTCATGAAGGGGTGTTTCACAAAGAAGCCCTTCTAAAAATAAATTCTGGTATTTGGTCATTTGCTCTGATTTTATGAAGTTGGTCAGACTGAAAACTTTTCAGCACCCCTATGTAAATATGTTCTTGAAATTGAAGAACTAATTAATTAAAACGTGAACACACAAAATCAGACAGTTTTGTATGTTTGATAAATTTTGATTGATCAGTTACTGCTTCTCGTAAGAACTGACTCCTTGGGAGAGAAATAAATTTTTTAAAAAAGCTTTCTTCACTTTAAATTTTTAAAACTTTAATTTTTTTTTTTTTTTTTTTTTTTTTCAGTTATCTTTCAATCTATCACCTTTTAAGTAAAATTTTGTCAATATCACTAATTTCTGTATTGAAAAATGATTATTACCTTATTAGACTATAAATAAAAAAACATCCTTTTAGGTGATGTCTTGCTCCTCCAAAACCATTACACATGACGTTGTTGTAGACTATTTCAAACTTTCAGCTTTTCAAAGAATACCAGAATGCAGAGAAAAGAATTCTACCATACAGACACCACATTGGTTCATGAAAATGACTGACATGTATCACGTATAAATCACCCCCCCACATATATATATAATTTGAAATATGCGGTTTATGGAGAAAACGTTCTCAATATCAAGCATAGTATTTGTTGACAATCAGTATATAGTGTTGATTACTATATATATATATATATATATATATATATATTTTTATTTTTTTCCTTTACTAATATTTATCATTGAATTTGAATAAGCATAAATATTAAAATTTGGTTTTGATTTTTCTTCAAACCTGCAGAACCTGATTTTCCCTACTTGGAAGCATTAGCGCCTTACCAGCCATTATCTTTGAGGGTAAGTTGGTTTGATTGACATTCTTGACTAACTCCTTAACCTATACACCATCTTTTCACACACCCCTCCCCAGTGCAAAATATAAGTGTTAAAAATTAGTTAAATCTCTAAATTAACATTGTTATATTGCCTGGTTTTCTTGTTGTCTCTGATTGCATTGGTACCATGTGACAATAATTGTTTGCTAATAATCATATGTTCAATTGAATATTATCTGCCCATTGTCAATTGCCTTCTAAGTTGTCATACAATCCCATGCAGCTAATCATATTGTACTTGAAATATTTTTCTAAGTATGTTGTATTTAATACTAAGGTTTCTTAGTTTTATGTGGAACTGTTATACTCAGTGTATTGAATTATTGAGTTTGTTACTCATTCTTGATAAAAAATTAGTCTCAGTATTACAGATGTCAGTAGCTGACTTTTGTACTATCTTTTAGAGCATGTAGTTCCCATAGAAACTTATAGAACATACCTTTTACTCTAGTTCTATTATTTTTCTACACATTAAAATGGTTGATCACAAAAAAGGTGGTAGGAGGATGATGTCAGTAATAATTTTAGGCAGTAACCAACTATACACATTGGCCCCTTTTTTTCATTTTTTGGTCAAAGCACAAAATTAGCTTCCTATAAAAGAAGATACATGGAAATATTTTGAAACCTTCATAATGTAAATCAAGGAATGAAACATGAAAGGTTTGGATGAAAGTCTTTTTGAAATTGATTTTGGAAAATATCAGAGAATGAGGCTAACAGCAAAAAATAACAAAGCAGAAGCTGCTTTGAAATTTTGAAATATAAATAGAGGCAACTTCTCTAAAAACTGGATTGGATTTGTGGAAATTTCATAGGTATTGTCAAACAAGATATATGTATGTATGTGTGATTATTGTGATGAATTTGTTGAAGTGATTCATTATCTGCAGAAATATATTAATGTCTATAGAATAAGTAACATATTTACTAGCACTCCACATATATGTTGTGTATTTGTGTGTTATATTGTAATAGAGGGAAAAAAGAAACAGCCAGTACATTAGTGTTATTTGATATAGTTTAATGAATTTATTTACCAAAAATAAGGCATATGTAGTCTGATATCTTCTGTGTCATGTCCTTTCAGGACATTGGTGATCATGTCCCTCCACAATTTCTTGTTCTTTGTAGCTCTTAAGAAACTCTATCTTTTTGTTATTTCATCTAAACCTTGCTCCATCATCCATTTACTCAAGCTTGCTAGGCAGGTTATGCATTGTTTTCCTCTTTCTCTCTGGTCTTCAATCTGTCCTGTGAATGTAAAGCCCTTTTTCCTCATCAAAATTTCTATGATCTCTTTCTGATGTTAAGTATAAGTATCCTTTGTATCCATTTTCTCTAAAACTTTGTTGTTGCTCACATGTTAGGTCCATGGTATTCTCAGCATCCTTCTGTAGAACTACATTTCTGTTGCTTCAAGTCAAGTGAATCCAGCATTCATTGCCATATAGGACTGGTATTACATAACAGTTCAGTAGTCTCCTTTTTTTTTTTTTTTTTCTTTTTTTTTTTTAATAAAATTTTTCTGATTCTTAATACTTTCCTTCATTTCTGGAAAGCATCTTTTGCTATCTCAATGTGCCTTTGGATTTCAGTGTTGCACTTTCCGTCCTCTGTTATAACACTTCACAGATATTTAAATTTTTCTACTTGTTTGATTTTGGTATCTCTAATTTATAATTTGCATGTTAAGCTGTTCCTTTTTCTAACAACCATGCATTTCATCTTCTTGCTTTCCTTCATTAACTTCTGTTGGAGTTCTTACAGTTTCCTTCCTGTGTCTCCTATCAACATTGTGTCATCTGCGTATCTTGCGTTATGATTGTGCCTGCCAATAGAAATTTATAATAGGATCTTTAACAAAAACAGATGGCATTATATAAGGGTTTAGATATACAAAGTAACAATGAACATGTTAAAACCCATGCTTTATTGGTATCTCACAATACTACTAGGCTTTGAATAGTATCTCCTGATACTACTATGTTTTGTTAATATCTCATGTTACCACCAGGCTTTGTTGTTTTCTTTTTGTCACAATGTTGGAGTGCCAGCTTCAGACAATTACAATATCTGCTCAATCTTCCTGCCCCTTATTTCCTCTGCCATGTTGATATATACAACTTTAGTCAGATATACTGAAATTACCTGATGTTCAATATATTGCACGTTATTAATATTAAGAGACTGAGAATGAAAACTCATTCTTTATTTTATATGAACTGAGATTGGAATAGAATCAATGCCTTCCAAAAGCTAAGCAAAATATTAAAAAAACAGGAAAATGTTTTAAAAACAAAGAAAAGATTACTAAACTGTTATGTAATATCAGTCCTTGTCTGTAACAGTGAATGTTGGACAAACTCAATACAGATGAAGATTTGAGGCAACAGAAATGTGGTTCTACAGAAGGATGCTGGGAATACTATGGACTGAACACATGAGTAACAAGGGAGTTTTAAGGGAAATGGAAAAAACTGACACTTATACTTAGAATCAGAAAGAGCTGGTTGAAATTTCTAGGACATAATGAGGAAAGAAGGCCTAGTGAATCTGACACTCATAAGACATTAAAGGCAGAAAGGACAGAATAAAGCAGCAAGTAAACTACCTAATGAAATTGTGTAAATGAATAGTAGAACAAGAATTGGGAGAAATAATGAAAAGACACCCCCTTATTAAGAGCTACAAAGGACAGGAGTTGCGAAGAGCCAAGATTGCCAATGTCCGTATACAAGAAGAATGCAATGAACTTTTATAATGTAGTAAACTTTGATTATTCAGTCTATCAATCAGAGATAAATATTATTTTTGCATGTAATTTTATTTGAGAGGAGGTGGTTTTTAAGCTACTTTTAAGTTAATAAAAATTCTCTAATTTGTGCGTTTTATTTTTCAGATTTGCTACTGCCCGATCGACACAAGTCTCAGCTTCAGCCAGGCAAACAAATTAATCAAGGATTTAAAGCCACGTCATTTAGTTATCGCTGAAGACTATTTAAACCCTCCACTTATGGCCCCTCACAGGGCTGATTTGACCATTGATTGGGTGTGTATTTTAGGAATACAGGAATATATTTTTATTTTTTGGGTGTGTATTTTAGGTATACAGGAATATATTTTTATTTTTTGGGTGTGTATTTTAGGAATACAGGAATATATTTTTATTTTTTGGGTGTGTATTTTAGGTATACAGGAAAACACAAATTTTAAAAGTTAATATTATATTTAATGTATTCCATGGCTGAGTCAGTCTAGAGCATGTCAAATCTGATAATGGTTTCTCCTAAAAAGAGTGATGCAGGTTTGAATTCTACTGGAGAGCACATATTTTTATTTAGTAAGATTTCTCGAATATTCAGGTTGGTAGACAAAAATAATTAAATATATTGTTTAATAAATAAACAGTGTGTCTACTCAACTATGTGTATCAACTGAGAATAATGTTTAAATGATAAAATCTGTCAGATTAATAAAAAAAAAAAAAGTCCATTACTTTAGAAATTGCATATAACAAGTCAAAGAAAAGGGACTCTTTTCAGATATATTTCAATTGTGTTTTTATATTTCTTTATTTTACTTTTTGCAGGATCTAAACCTTACTCGAACTAGAACCTACAAAAGAGGAAAGATCCTGTCTTTGCCTGTTAAACGTCAATTTGAACGAATTGAAATTCATCCAAAGGTAAATAAATATTGAAACTGCTTTTTTTCTGACCGATGTAATCATATATATATATATATATATATATATATATAGTATTAAGTTGTAACAGTTTTTGGTGCCAAAATTGCTGGTTCTTTTTCTGTAGTTTACTGGTGGGAGATCATTTTAGGCAGGCAGTTTTTTTTGTTATAAAATGCTGGATATCAAAAGGTAAAGATACAGTATTAATAGAATTAATGTGGAGGAACTTACCACTTAACTGAGTGATGTTGGTTCATGAAAGCATAACTACAATGCGCACAAAATTTCAAAGTTTCATGACTGAAGCAACACCACTCAGTTCAGTGATAGGTTCCTACACACACACACACACATATATATATACAGTATTTACATTAGTCGGACTATTGGAATTTCAAACTGAACCCTGAACCTGAAATTCCAACCACCTGAAGAAGGCCGGAGCATACAACGGCCGAAACGTTGTGACAAATATGGCGACAAAGATGAGGACAATAGTCCAACTAATGTAAATACTGTACATAATACCTCATCTCAGAAATATAGACACATATATATATATATATATATATATATATATATATATATATATATATATATATAATGTGGGTCAAAAAGTAATTCCAATAATTTAGAAGTATTAATCAGAATTTGTATTTTTTTTTTTTTTTTTTTTTTTTTTAACTATAAAGTGTTAAGAGACCTGGGTGGAAATTTTGTGGAATTACTTTTTCTTTTCCACTTGCAAAATGGCTACCCAACTAGACACAAGTAGAGTGCAAAGAGCTGTCAAAAATATCCTGTTTTTGGAAGGAGAGAGTGCTGCACTTCACAAGAGGTTAGTGAAAGTTTATGAAAAGACTGCACTTGATTCAAGTGGACTAAGGATAGGGATCAGTAAATTTAATGACATTCCTAGAAAGGAGAAACTGACTTTACTAACAGATTCAACAGTGGTAGGCTAGCTGCTGCTGCAAATGAAGATACGGCCAAAGAAGTTGATGCTCACATTACAGCTGACAGCAGAATCATTATTACAAAACACTGTGAAAGCATTTACATGAGCACTGACATCAGTTGTTGTTGATTGAATCCAGGTAATAATTGTTTCAAATGCTGATTTTTAAGATGCATCACAGCATCAATAGTTCATACCAACAATAAAAAATATGTAACTACAAAAATTCTGTGGCACTGAAAAATACTGAAAGGCTTAAGCTAAAAAGAAGTCAATAAAATTAATTTTTATTCCTACTGAATCATCCAATTATTAAGGAAACCATTCTTTTTTTTATCAATTCACCCCAAGCAAGGTGATAATGCCACTAAGATGCAAGAGGTTACTGAGAGGGAAAGTGAATGAGAAGACTTTAGAAGTAACTGGAAACCCATTCCTAAACAGGAAACCAGGGATAAATCTCTACTCCTGTTCAAAAGGCTGGGAAAGTGTGTGAACCAGACGATAGGCAAACCAATCTACTTAAAAGAATATCTAAAAAGTAAAAATGTTACTTTTTTTTTTTTTTTAGTTTGTATTCCTAAAATGTGGCCAAGTTGAACTTCGATGCAGCTTTGATAGTAAAATTTGCAGTAATTGCCTGAATACATTACTGAAGCATAATGACTTTACAACTGAAAATGTTAGATTTGAAATTGAATGATATTGGACTGATGGGAAAATATTTGTCTAATTATTTTTTAACAGCTTGCAGGCACTTTAGAGCCTGTAGAAGTAAAACCTGGTTCGCTCATCACAATGGTGACTGGCTGTTTAACAGGCAAGGACAACAAATTCGTCCTTGAGGTGAGTCTTATTGTGTTTTCTATTTTTGCATACTTAACTTTATTATTTGTACAATAGAAATAGTTTCAATTCTAATACGACTAGTGTTTACTATGTTACAGGATCTTCCAAAGACAATTCTGATGAGAAATACAAAATAACTACTAATAAATATATGTAATTTTTTTTAAATCTTAGTAATTTCTATTTGTAAAAATCACTGTTATTCTTTACTTCCATATTTTATAAAAAATATCAAGGAAATTTTTAGTAGTGTTGAAAAATCTTTTTTCTTGCCTCTGGTTTTCAGTTGAAAGAAATTTCTGCACACATGCAAGAATCAAGACAAACATTACTGATAATAAGATTATCCGTTTTCTTATTAGGAAGCATTTGGCATTTATTGACCAAGTAACTAATACTACTGTCAGTTGAAATTTTAAATCTTTTATTAAAACAATTTTTCAGGATAATAGGTTTTGAAGAAAATAAAATTTAAAACTGAATAATAATTGACAATACTTTAAGAAATTTGAATAATGCTTTACCTTTTATAAAATACATTCAATTTAAAACTATTGTTATAGTCTTGTCTGAATTTCTTTGAAGCCTTTTTATTATTAATTTTGTTTGATTTATTTTCTTATTGTTGCCTTTTATTGCAATGACTAAGTCATTTCACATGCTACAGCCATTAAGGAACCAATAAATGACAGTTTTATTTCTAATTCATGCTGTTTGCTCTACAGATGGCAAATGGAAATTAATCTGACCATTGTGGTAAAAAGCAATAATTGTAAGATGAGAGATAACAGTAGTAAAAAAAAAAAAAAGAGTAATTTTTCTTGTAAGTTTGTCACTTAATTTTGATGTCCTGGGTATGATGATAAACTACATCCAGCAGGAAGGCCTCTGATTGGGAGGGTTTGAGGAGTGTAGAACTTAATTGCTGTTGTTCCCAGGTCCACCCTGACCTGGGGTGGTAGCACCTGTTAGGGACCTAACAATGCGCATATAGTGAACCCCCAAATTGGGGTCAAAACATTATGAAAGTATAAAAATACATTTTTCTAGTAAACATTTCCAGCAATAGATTTTAATAGTAAAAAAAAAAAAAATTACCAAAGCTCACAAGGAAATTACATTAATTAAATGACCCATATGCCAGTTCATATGCCGTTAACCAAACCAAACTTAATTCTGTTTTTTTTTTTTTTTTCTATGATCATAGGTCAAGCTAATTTACCATTTAAAAAATAATCCTTCAAAATTCAAATCAAATTGATTTCTTTGTATTCATGAATATGTATCTTTTTATATTTGTGTTTCATCTTTTTCTATGTTGTTCAGCCAATTCCTGATGACTTAACTTTGAAGCGTAAACTGAAGGCTGAAGGAGCAATTCGTTCCTACATTTGGGGCACACTTCAAATTCGTACATTTGTTGATGCCTTAGCAGAGGTAAAATTTTCTGTTTGTCGTTTTTTGCTGTAAATTGTCGTTTTCTTCTTTATTTTGTATTATTTTAGCAATACAAAGAGTTATTTTACAGATAAAGTCATTATCAATTCTTCCAATGAGGTTATTGATCTCATTCTTTTTGTGCTTACTACATTTTGACAAATCTATTCTCTGGCCTTTTTCATGCTGCCTTACCTCAGTAAGGAATCTGGATGTAAGAGGCATATTAATCCTCATAATTCATCTAAGTGTATTTGTGTCTTCTTTTGTCTAATATCAAAGACTTAAACAAAGGCAATCCATCACTGTCAGAATTCCACATGCATGGGGTTTAAACCACCTCCATTCAGTTCATGCCATCAGAGTTTGGACCAGTACTTTGCTATTCTGGGTCAGCTTATACATTCTGTAACAGAAATCTGTTGATTGAATTAATTTAAACATTGTGGTATCAATAAAAATAAGAAAAAAAAGAATGAAATCAGTAGTCTTTGTTCTGGATTTTATAAACATCTTGATACATTATTCATCATTTTTTTTATCCTAATGATTTTTTACTGAACTTTTATAAAATTCACATGAGTGTTTAGGAAATAAAATATTTTGTTGCCTTTTGTGTAAACCTTTTAAATGAATTGTTAATTTTTAAAGGTTTTTTGGTGATTCTTCCTCTTGCTTAGTTTTGGTTTTCTCAGTGTGACAATTAATGATAGGCGAGTAATTTTTTTTTTCAGCACAGAAAAAAATGAATAGTTTTTCATATTGGAAAATCAATTCCAAAAATATTATCATTCTATTTTTTCTTTTTATAGGAAGGAATTACTGATGTAAAAGTAGCAGAATCTGGAGATGGATCCATCATACATTTAGTGAGTTTTATTTTCATTTGTGATGTAAAACAGTTTGTAACTCAACTCAGGAAACATGATAGTCATATAAACATACTAGCAATTATCTTATATGGTAAAAGTTTAAATACACAAGGTTTAGTTGATATGCAATAACAGGTGATTAGTGTAATTGCAGAAACGTGTATTTGTGCTCTGTCAATGGGAACTGCTTAACAAATAATGTAGTTTATCAGGTCACTATTCACAATTTCATTTGATCACAAGAAAGACCTTTTTAAACAAGTTTTATAAGCATGAAATGTCAGTAGAAACATAAAAATAGTACTATTCTTTTTAAATATGTGTAGGATGTCAAAGAAAAAATAAAAATGTTTCTCTTCTAATTGATTGTAAAATATTAAAAAAAAAAAAAAAAAAAAAAAAAACACCAAATGGGATCAAAATTTTTAAAATTATACCAGGAAGAAAAGTTGGTAATTGCCATATGTAAAGAACAAAAAATATTAAACTAGAAGAGTGAAATAATGTTGAAGTGTAAGCCTTCACGGAAATATCTATTGCTGTACTGATAGAATAAACATGAAAATATATTTGTAGGATGAGTGCAAGTAAAGCAAATAGCCATCCATCAGATCACAGTGAGCGCTACAAGTCCAGTCTTTCCTACTATTTAACCCATAACTGTAGGAGAAGAGTTGGATTTATACCTTTTCCAAAAATAAAGAAAAACAAATATAAATATGCATTGTTCATCTTCAAGGTCACATGGCACACGCACACAAATGCACACATGAATACAAATAATACCAAAAAACTTACACCAATGACAATTGAAAAAAATATCAAAAAATATAAGCAGTAAATTGTTGTTACACCCTGAAGACTGGACAGACAAATCTGCCTGCAAAACTCTGGATTCAGGATGCTGACAGTAACATCAATCAACTAAGTGACAAACTTACTTACTTACTCTCTCTACACCTGCCCTTTAGCTTTCTCTCTTTTTTTTTCTTTTTATTTATATAATGATTGCACTCTGTTGTCAGTAGAACGCTATCTCTTTGCTGATCACTGCACAAAATTGTGCATGTATATGACCCTTCAGCCCAGCCTCAGTCTTGCATAATTGTTTGCAGAAGGAACGCTTGAACTGTTCATCTTCAAGGTCACTGGCTAAAATACATCTTTATATATAAAGAAATATTCTGGTCAAACCACCTGCTGACTGACTTGTAAATTACAGGTGTGCTGTGGTGGATAATGGACATGGTGGCAAAACTCCCTTGCCATCTGCTTCATTCCTTCTTGGCCCATGCAACTATAGATGCTTTACCAAGCATTCTCTTGAGAGAAGAAAGTGCCCATACGCACATACACATATATACGTACACAAGGTGCGATGGATAAATTGTCTAAATTATACAAAAATGGAAATAATACTGACACCTCATTTTAACAGATATATGTACCAAAATTACACAAAAATATCTTGAAATACTGAAGAGTAAATTTGTTTAATAAAATAGCCATTAGCTTCAACCATAGCTTCCAGACAACTTTGGAATCTGTTGCAACTCTTCTGAATGGTGTCCTTGTTTAAGTTGATGAATGCTGCCATAATCCTTGCCTTCAGTTCATCTTTGGTGTTACAAAGAGTTTTGTTGGTCTCTTGCACAACTGTACCCCACACATAATAATCAAGGAGGTTGCAGTCGGGGGAGTTAGGTGGACAGATGTAAGGGGTGGTGTGGTTACAGAAATTGTCTGACAGCCATAACTGGGCGCAAAAATTAAAAATATAAAATGGCGACAATTTACCCATCGCACTGTGTGTGTGTGTATATATAATATATATATATATATATATAAAACGAGATGTCTGTGTATCTTTCTGTGTGTGTGTCTCTGTTATTTATGCATGTCCACATTTCTTGACCAATTTTGATGAAATTGTACACACATGTTGCAAATTTATCAAGATAGGTGAAGATCAACTTTTCAATCTCCAGGCCCCCCCCCCGCCTTTGGCAGAAAAATCGATAAAGCTGAAGGTGGGAATGACTTTTTGCAAAAACCAAGTTAAAAATTTTTACTGGATGAGCAGATCACAGCTGTTTGAGGTTTCCTACAGACCCACTGAACTTAAATAAAGTCAATTCAGGTTTCCTATGGTAAAAATTTTCTTTCCCAAGTGAAAATCATCACAAAAATAGCAAAAGTCATTTTGTCACAGCTTATTTTCTCTCAAAATATGGGTTTTCATACTTTTACATGGGTAAAATATTGAAAAATGACTGTTTTATCATCACCTAAACTAATATCAAGGAAACTTTTGATCTGAACCCCATGAAACTAGGTATTTTCTGAAAGCAAAAGATATATTCTTTCATTTAAAAGTAAAATTAGCTGGTGTAAATGACTCAAAATTTTTTTCAGTGGGTAAAATGTGAAAAAATAGTGAAAATTTTGCATTTTTTTCTTGTTCTAAACAAATATTTCCCCCATTAATGGGAAATTAATCATTTTTTTTTTTTTTTTTGAAAATCAGAAAGCCTAAATCATAATGAAACTATTTCAGGCATAAAATTGAGAGTTTTGAAGGAAATCAACATTCCTAGAGGTTCAAAATGCGACAAAATCCATTGGTAATTTTCAATTATATGACTGCCAAGGGTTAAAAAAATTGACACCTGGCCACAGAAATCTTTAGTAAAAGGCAAGAGATTTATCTGCAATTCCTAACCACCAGAAATCAAAAGTTTTTTTTTCCCTAAAAATAGCGATAAGGGAAAATAAACCTAATTGACTTTGACGTCTAGGTCAAAGGCCAGCCAGCCAGCCAGCCAGCCAGCCAGCAATAAACGGACGGCAAACCTTAGAACAAGTTGTAATAAAACCCACCACTCCCAGATAAAAGCAAAGAGTGAAAAAAAAAAAAAAAGGGTTCACAATTACTAGGGCTTCATACAACCTATGTTTGAACAATGGCTTGATGAGTTTACTTTTGTTTTGTTTTTAACACCCCGTGACCCGGGTGATGACAACAACACTTAGCAGCCGACATTGTTTTTTTTCGCCGCATATCTTTCGTATTTCCCATCGCCGGTCCATTTAGCCTTTCTTTTTATTCAATGATGTTCATGCCAAATGAAAGAGAAAGGAATGAATTTTGAATGATGTTATTTTGAAGCGAAAAATAAATATTTTTCATAAAAAAGGGATTTTTCTCAGAAAATTGGGCATAATTTCTTCATGCTAACCGCCGAAAGTGACATTTTCCACAGCCAAATCGAAGATTAATTACCAGTGAATAATTCCATGTGCAAAAATAGCCGTCTGGATCCTATAAGGTCGCCTAAAAGGTCCAGAAGTTTACTAATTGATCGAAAACCTGTTACATAATTGTATTTTTTCACGGTCAGTTTGCATTATTTCATCTTGATATTACCATTTTCGGACAGCCAAGTCATCAAGGATTCAGGAAAACACTTTGGCATAGGTTTTCTTTAAGAACTTTACATTCTATGAGGTGTTTAAAATGTTACTAACGAATGAGATTTTTTGCCAAATATTTCATTTACGCGCCATGTTGGATTTTCCTATATGACAAAAACAAGGGTTTTAAACAGCTGTGCAGATGTTCTTTGCAGTTAATACAAAACATAGCTCATGTTATGAGGTTTATGTAGAATGCTTGATAGTTTTCCTGCAACATTGGCTTTCTACAAAAAAATTGCAAAAAAACTGAAAAAATTGGGTTTTTCATACTACTTAAAATAAAAACTTGAATAATTTTCTCATTTTTTATCCAATTTTCTTCAAACATGTTGCAAAAAATTGCTATCCTGCAAAAAATAATATAGTTTGATTTGAGTCCAGCTTGCTTCCCTGCATATAACGAAAAACCACGAAAACTGTTCAAAATGACCATAACTACCTGGTTTTTCATCTGATGCTTTCCAACATGTAAATTACGTATGGCACACAGATTGTCTTGCAGTTAAGTGGACAAAATCTGCAATAAACTAGGTTCAAAATTGGCTTTTGCTATTTAGACAATAGTTTCTTCATATGATTCCATCCTAAATTGGCATCCTTTGGTGCAAATATTATTTGAGGATTATTGAAGCATTAAAAGGGAAAAATTCCTGAAGAACTTCTTATTAACTCCAGCTTTAAAGTAAACATGCACAGAAGGAGGGGGCATTCATGCGTTTGCACTTGCAGTTGAATCAAGCTCTGACACTTCATCCCTGTTTTTGCTTGATTATTAGATTTGTGAACAATGCCATACTATTTGAAAGTTATTACAGCCATAGGAGATTAACTGAATATCTAAAACATTGAAACAATTTAACCCCAAGCAATGACCACACAAAGTATTATCGATGGAATTCCTGTATTAAGAACAATCAAACACTTCAGAAGACCATACTGTAAAAAAAATGTGGGAGAGTAGCTTAGTATATCAAAGGACGATACATTCAAGTGAGGATGCTGACAGACATTTCTAGACAGGGGGGAGTGGTAATACAATTGCAGCCATGTATACCTGAGCAATGCTGGATACTTCAGCTAGTATATATATATATATATATATATATATATTATTTTTTTTATTTTTTTATTTTTTTTTTAAGGTATGGATTATTTATGGGTAAAAATGCTCAATATCAGGATAGACCATATGTAAATATAAAGTGTACACACGTTTATTTTATATTTATCAGTACCATATTGATACTTTTAATAGAGTAATATATTTTTACTATTCTTATTAGCATCATGTAAAAAGAAAGTCCCAAAAGTAGTTGATTTTTTTTTTGTTGCTGAAACTTCTTTTTCCTTTTCTATTTCAGCCAAGTGAAGATACATTAATACAAGTTGAGCCTGACTCTACACACATCATTTGTGAAGGAAATGAAACCATTCGTGTGAAACTGAGAGACACATTACTCAAGTGTCTATCTAAATTTTAGTTTCCTATCTTTTTGCCTGATGTATGTGTTTTGGGGTTGGGATGAGGCAATGTTGTGTTCAAAATCATTTTTTACTCTCAAAACCAGTAAAAGAGTTAGCAACAACATTGTAAAACATCTGCAAGAGAAATTCATTTAGTTGCCACATTGAAGGAAACAGATCTAAAATGGGTTAACTTGAGAGTTGTATATTTGAAAAAGGGCCTTATTAAGAAATTTACTGTTTAATTACTCTTTGAAAATGTGAAGGTAATTTTTTTTGATACTATGATGTCTTTACTATATCTCAAGATGTTGTTAAATGGCATTGATGTCATTTGGCAACCAATCATAGGGGACCTTACTTCACATGTGTGAACAGATACTTTCTCATGTAGTTACTCAAGTGTCAGTAAGACAGCATTGAGTTTGTGTACTATACGACTATTTTATTCACAATGAACAAAGAAGGTCTTGTACAGGGATTTTTGGCAAAGCATTGCATCACACAAGTTTGTCCATTTCATGATAATCAAGATTTGGGCTTCTTTAACATCTGGCTTTTGTCAAATCTAAGATAGATTCTGTTGAAATAACATAGACAAGATTAATGGAGCAGCTGACAGCAATTCTGAAAGATGACTTTATAGATTGTGACACTACTTAAATAGACTGCTCCACTCATAAAAATAGGGAAAGTTTTTTTTTTTTTTTTTTTTGAGAATAAATTTGTTAGATTAACGTTCATTAGAGCTTCCTCAACCCACAACATTTGTCAGAATTGGAAAATATTGAATTTTTTATTTTTTATCAATTTTGAAGAGGGGTGGAGTCCAGTTCATAATAAGGTACAATTGTCCTAGGTAGGCCTCATCTTTGTTTAAATGGCCTGAATTATTTCTGGACGTACCTTGTCCTATTTGAATTGTCCTCTTTACTGAAAATCTAAAATAAATGAAGTAGTTGTTAAAAAAAACTTTTTAATAGAAAATTGTTTATTTATTTTTTTTATTTTGTAAGCAAAAAATCATTAAAATATTTTTTTTTTCTAATAGAAAGTCATAACAATTTTCAGGTTCATTTCAAATTCTGTAACTTAAACAGCATTGATTGGAAATAATGATTTGAACTCATATCTAATCTGGAGAATCTGACTTAGGTTGTATTTTATTGATTAAGTTATGAAAATGAAACAGCAAATGTCCTTAAATTAAATCATGCAATTATATTCTTTTTTGTGCAATTTTCATTCAAGAACATCAGACAGCTAATGATTTGGATGATATCTACTACTACTATGACAAACAATATGGTGTGGAGTAAGAATAATGAAGAATGTAGTTATCTAACTCAATTTGCATGACATTTCCTGTCACCTAATCAATAAAGCAGTGTTCATGTGAAGTATGCTTTAAAGGATACAGGATATAAGTTCAAATCATCTCAGAATTTATTTTTTATTTCTAGTCTGACAAACAAACAAATTTAAAAGGCATCTTTAGTGTCTTCATAAAAACATGCAACAAAAGATGCTAAGAAAAATTAAAAATGAATGACTGCTTCATTTAAGAAATGCAAAAATATGGTTACATTGTTAAAATTCAGTGCTGCTTTTTTCTTGATTTTTATTTATTTTTTTATAAAAATTCCATTTTAAATTTTCAAAAAACAAACTAAAAAAATCAGATAACAATATTTTGTTAGTGGATTTGAAAAAATAACAAGAAACTAATGAAAGAATAATAAATCTTAAATATAAACAGAGAAATAAATCTTGATTGTTGTTTACCTTATTTATTTTGAAATTTAAAAATATATACATAGATACAAATATACTTAGTCCAAACAAAAATCTACCAAATAAACTAAAGGTGAAAGATGAATTTCCTAAAGAATTGAAAAATTGTTAGTAAATGACATTCTTTTCAGGATTGATTTCAAGCTGTGATGAAATGCTTTGTGAGACATGGGAAACATTGCTAAATCTGAATAAATCACCCAATTTTTTTCAGTAGAACTTTGTGTCTATTGTTGGAGTTGCACCAGACTAAAATATACTGCATTCATTTCTTCAAATATTTTAGTTTAAGTTTGATCAGATAGTTAAATAAATAAGAATTATCAAAGAAAGAATTTTAATAGTTTTTGATAACAGCATTTCATCCTGATCCCCAAATGACACTAAATGAAATGTTCACCTGCTACTTCATCTCTCTCCTTTTGCTTTGTCCATTTGCTAACAAAAACAGACTTAAATCATTAACTTCATCATCATTTAAGTTTTTATTTTTGTATAAATAAATTTTCATTATTTCTAAAATTGGTAATTTTCTTGATTTATTTTTATTTTTATTTTTTTAAATAATTGTTGTCTCTTCAAAAAGGGCAGTGTTTTTTTTTTTTTTTTTTTTTTGCCTGCATTGTTGATATATCTTGATTCTTGTTAAATTGAAGTTCTCTGCCCCAAACTCTAAGCAGTTGTCTACTCATGGGGGAAAGCACAAATAATACTTTTATAAATTGTACTTATAAATTTCAACTTGAAAATATTAGTCGTGAATGTTGTTCCCAATTGAGCAATATTACAATCCTGAACAGATTTTTCTCAGAAATCACTTGGTAGTTGTCTTCCTCTAACAATTTTGCAAAGGACTTTACTGCTGGGATTCCTAAAGTGGGCACATCCATCCCCCTCACTGGATGGTAGAAAAATCTAGAGGTGGTGTTGAGTAAAAAAAAAAAATATGGGCAGTTAGAAAAGAATAGTAAAGTGGTAGTAGGGTTGCATTAGAACCAAATCCTTTTTTTTTTTTTTTTTTTAACAAATTCTGTCAGCTTACACTTAAGGAACACTTGTTTAAACAAAAATAATAAAAGTCATACTCACACACATGGTTTTATTTTATTTTGTTGTCAGAATTTAAAAATCTGTTTTTTTAGGACATGTCACATGTCAGCTGAATCAGATAACTGACATCTGCAAGCGTCATTACTCTAGGTTTGTAGGATGTTTGTCTGATAACATTTAATGGCATCAGAGAAAAGTCAAAATTCATTTGTGTGTTTACAATGTTAGATTGATTGTTGTTTTGAATTTTGAAAGTATGCTGAATACCAAGAAAGAAGCATCTTTATATAGATGTTGGAGGTGCTAGGGATGTGGCCTGGGAGCCAGCTGGCCAGTAGATATTGTATGAAATACTAGTTGAGTTAGCATTCAGATAATAAAATTGAATAATTTTGTTAGAAAATAATGATTTGGTCCCATCATTAAAACGAATTTTCTTTCATTATAATACTGGATAAGCATACCTTTGAATATTTGGGATTTTACAAGAATGTGATTCTATAATCCACAATAACAAAAATTGAAACAATCACTTTCCCTTTCATTCATCTGCTATTAACTCAAACTTCAATACAATGAATACTCATAAATTCGTTAAACAGAGCCAAATTGCTGATTTCGTTTGGTTGTTATTGTTATGAAGTGAATTGTTTGTAAATCAGTTTATTTTTTTCTATTTGCAGCGCACGATTATTATTTTTTTTTTTTTTTTTACTTTTTTTTTCAGGGAACACGGCAGATAAGCATATAGTTCAATATAAAAGTGGTTTTAAAACACAAAGGGAGAAAACTGCTGATATTGTTATACGGGATCGTCTCCCTTAGATTTAGTTTTACTTTGCAACATTACTTTTTAACTAGTTTAGAGAATAACTTGAAGGAAAATAGATGTAGTAAAAACGCGTTTTATTGAGTGGTAATTTTTAAAAAAAGTTACGCTCGAATGTATTCATATTTTGAAACCTTCTGGCGATAAAAAAAAGCTTAAAATAATTGTTATGTGAGAATATCAGTTCTGTGGAAAAATGTTTTTGTCTTGTTTCTTCACTCAAGAGATCTTATCCATTTATTTATGCGTTTTGTGATTTTACTAAGTCATAACGATTTATCTGTACTCTCTTTTGAGATACACCATTTTTAATAAGCAAATGTACTCAAATTTACTAAATCGTAAAGAACTCCACGACTAACATCAATGTGGTTTGAAGCAACTTAAAAAATGGGTTACCAAGTACGCTATTTTATACTGTATTAAATAATTCTACAAATTACACTAGTTTAGTTGTATTGTAGAACCAAGCATAATACATTTACACAACTTGAGTTGCTCTCTTTTTAGAACCCTGTTGAACATACTCCCAAGAGGATGCTTTCTCGATCATTATCCTCTTCACATTTGGGATCAAGCGTTATCTTCCCTATATATCCCTATAAACTCTGTTTCTAACCCTCTACCTAGAGTGGCTCTTGGGCCTTATATAGGGGAACATTAATATATAAAAAAAGATAAAACATTCAGTAACCCTCTATCTTGGGTGAAAATTAAAAAAAAAATGTTGTCACTGATGTTGGTAAAAAATGATGCACTTCAGAAGCTGCTCCATGTTATCATATATGTCCATGTCTTGGATGAATCTATAAATATCCTCCACTGGATCAGGTGACATAAATGATTCAGGACTAGAATTTTCATTTGCTTGATTCTGATGCAACTGGAACTGTATTTCTGTCAGAAGTGGGTTTCTTATCGTTACGTTATACTCCTTAAAATGTCCTCTTTTCTCGCATGTTCTGCCTGTGGTACACTAAACATTCGTTGCTAGAACCACATCTCTATCGCTTGAAATCTGCTCTTGATTGAACAGAAACTATTTATAAAAAACAACACATTATTTTTTTTCCCATTGGGCAAGTTAATTACCGACATTTTTAAAAGCTAGTATTGATAAGTTTTAAAAGATTTATTATTATTATACAAGGAAACCCGATAGCAAAGAAAGTTAGGATGCCATATATATTTCATTCACTGGAACTGGTAGTCCTTCATGTACTGATGAAATGTTTGGATATTGCACAGTAGAATTTTTTTTTCTTTTTAGCAAACCTTTCCCAACTGGATGAATCCTGCAGAACTAACAATCATTGCTTATAATATGTTGGTTCTTTCCAAATCATTGACACGGAAACAGGCATACATTTTCTTCTCCTGTTCAATCACTTGCGTAGATTCCTTGCACAAGTGTTGCAGCATATGTGAGAGTTTCATGTTTTGTTCAGCTCGCTGATTTTCCATCCGAAATATAATTGATAACCTTTTCTAATCACAGCAGTTGCACTTCTTTGGTACAAAAGTTACTTGTTTTTTGTTATATTTGGGGTGAAGTATGAGACACCTGAAATGGACAAATGGGAGCTAGTTATTGAAATGTCACTTTTAATCAAAATTAAATTTTGTGCGGTAATAAAGGAAATGTTCTTTCGTGGCAAAAGTGTGTGGTGTTTGAAATAGTAAGAAAATAAAGTTATCTAACGATGCAAAAAATACGAGTTGACGAAAACTTATGAATAATACCAGTAGTTTTGTGTGCGAGAAGTATCAGCAGCTGCTGAAGTTCGGCTTGGACGCGATGTAGGTGATTAATTCGCTTCTGGAATTATGTTGTATACTTAGCAAACGAACGTAGTTATAGATATTCGGCTTCAACACGGCTCATATAAAAAGTATAAGATCGATCTAGAAAAATCCGTTTGTTTTCTTTCTTAATTCTCTTCATGTATGTTGATTTGTTAAGCTAAGCTAACCATATCTTTACGAGATTATATCTTTATGATAGCTTCAATTATCATGAATTTAGTGTTTCTAAATGTAATAGAAATTATAAAAACAAAAAACAAAAAAACAAATTAGCCCGATACAAACAGGATGAAAAATTGCAAAAAGGGTTAAAATGAAAACGAGAGCTAATCAACAATTTTAAACGTCATTTACCTTATTTACATTATTCGGACTATTGTCCTCATCTTTGTCGCCATATTTATTACAACGTTTCAACCGTTGTACGCTCCGGCCTTCTTCAGGTGGTTGGAATGTCGAACTGAACCCTTTATTTTGCTCACTGGGTTAGACTGTTCTAGTTCTATGTGCCATGTTTAATGGATGTCCTCAAGGATACATGGCACAGTGGATAAAGGCGTTAGTTAGATCCAGTGACAGAACCCAAAGAGTGTGAGTTCAATACCCGGCTAAGGCAGTGGAGAACTTTCAGAGGGAAAATTAACAGGAGATAACTGATAACTGACATCCAGGTGCGGTATTTTTTTTCTTTAAATGATTAAAATCATTTGCACCTTCGATTATGGGAAAGAAACATCACACATCTTTATTTTTTCTTGAAACAATCTATCTATAAAAACGAAAAAAAAAAATGAATGAAATATATATGACATCCTAACTCTTTCTTTGCTATCGGGTTTCCTTGTATAATAATAATAAATCTTTTAAAACTTATCAATACTAGCTTTTAAAAATGTCGGTAATTAACTTGCCCGATGTAAAAAAAAAATAATGTGTTGTTTTTTATAAATAGTTTCTGTTCAATCAAGAGCAGATTTCAAGCGATAGAGATGTGGTTCTAGCAACGAATGTTTAGTGTACCACAGACAGAACATGCGAGAAAAGAGGAAATTTTAAGGAGTATAACGTAACGATAAGAAACCCACTTCTGACAAATACAGAATGCGGAAGGAGGATTTGTCCTCAATGATACATGGCCCAGTGGATACAAGCGTTGGTTGGATCCAGTGACTTGACCCAAAGAGATTGTGAGTTCAATATCTGTCTACTTCACTGGTGAATAGGGAAGGGAGTTCCACAGGCGGGAGGTGCGAGACATGAAGCTATTGGAGTAGAAGAGACGGCTGCATTTAGTAATTTCGACAGTGAAAGGGTGAGAGCGGGATGCCAGCCTCGTAGGGCGCTTGAACTCATGAAAGTATTTGTAAAAAAGACAGGCGACGGCGTGTCTGTGAGAGAGCGACTGTAGACAAAATGCCAGGGCCAATAATATTGCATATCCGCCTCTGGAGCTTATCAAGAACCCCAAGGCAAAAAGAAGAGGCTCCAGACCATATATGGCAGAAATACTCAATGCAAGGACAAATTGTTGATTTGTAGATCTGGAGGATCGATTCTGGGGAGAAAAATTTCCTGGCGCGGAACAGGGAGCCAACTTTCCTTGCGGTGGACGAAGCAATTGACTCAATGTAATTGTTCCATCTCAGGTCAGCAGTCAACGTGAGACCGAGCAGCCGCAGAGAGGTGCTCTCGAGAACTTGACCGTCAGACATTCTAATGGAGGGCAGGGACGGATCTCTGTAGTGATTAATAGAGAGCAGTTTTGTTTTTTGAGGCATTAAAGTTGACCAGCCAATTCCTGCCCCAGTTCACAATGTGAATTACTTTCATATGCGAAGATCCAATAAGAAATATATAAATATTTTCTACTTTTATATTTTCTATCTTTTATTTTTCTACCCTACGTACTTTCCGACCTTTAATCGAATACAGAAGACAATTCCTTCGGTTATTCCGACCATAATCCTTTTCGGTCACACTGTGACTCTATGATTGGGACGCCCACATAGAAGTGGAAGATTTAAGGTTTTATTTAGATGTTAAGTGTTTTGTGTTTTATGGCCGGCGAATGTGGTCTTTGAAGTCAGGTCTTCTAAGCTATATCCACTTGACTGAAGGGGAATAAAAGAATAAATGCGAGCTTTTGAGGTCAAGCGACAATAAACTGGACAGTGATGATTTCCGGTCGCTTGTCTATATTAAGAGTTACAGTTGTCATTGAAAGGTCAGTTCCACTTCGTCTTTGGCGGGGGACAGACTGTCCTTAGGGTAGTTTCGACGCCGCCCGTTTATGTTGCCAGATTGGTCAAAGAAATAGAAATTTGACAATTTAAATTTCAGTGTCACTGGAACTTCCTTTTTCACGAGAAAAATGACATCATTTTTGTCGGAAAAATACAAATTTGTCGCAGAAATAACTCGACATGTTTTAGGCCAAACATATTTTAAATTGGTCATTATATTCCAGATATTTCACCGAATCCTTTTAACATCTGCCGTTGGTCATTGTAAATATTACCAATAACAGCTTTTCATTTTTCCATCCTCTTTTTAAATATATCAAATCGGGCATTACTGTTTGCTTTCTTTTTGCATTGTTTCCGTAGACGTTTCAAAAATGCCTGCCTTTTTATATAGCTTTTCCTAAGATTTCTTTCATCGAACCCATTCTTGACGTGTTAGCCATTTTCTTTAACCCGTCGCATTACTGCTTTTATTCATTTTTTTTTCATCCGCCGTTTAGTTGCATTACCTCCCTTGACAAAACCATACAAGTTTCTTTAAGTCAAAGTGTTTCCACCTTTTAATTTTACACTTTTCAGAAGTGCTTACATTTTTATATGCTTTATTTTTCCTCTCCACATCAATGCCTAAGCTTAAGTTAATGGAAGCATTCATTCGAAGCAGAATGTTTTCTTTTTCGCCCACTGTCAGAAAAGTAAACGGTCTGTGTTATTTTACAGATGCCTGAGTTGGCAAACAAAGGTTGCGACATGATATTTCTATGCTCTTGGTATCAATTACTTAGAGTTATTTAGTTTTTATTCTTCCTTTATTTGCCCGCGATAAGCTACGAGTTTTTGGCACATGAAAAGCCAGAAAAGGATTTACTTAACAATGAGAAGAAAGCGGTCGTGTTCTTGTAAATAACATTTCGGAAAAAATACGACAAAAATCCCAGAATGCTCTCATATTTACTTACAATCACCTACTTTTTTATTTTTCAAACTTAAATCTTCAAGAATGTAGAGGCAACTCTATAGAATGACATTTCTTTTAAATTCCAAAGAACATTTTTGTGTGCAAATTTACTGAAATTTTATACAGAACTTGGGAAAGCAAAGAAGAAAACAGGCTGAAAAAAATAAGGAAAATAAAAAGTGAAAAACACTTAGAAAGAAAGAAAGAAAGAACACATTGTAATAGCAAGATATATACGAAGAGATATCTATCTATCTATCTATCTATCTATCTATCTATCTATCTATCTATCTATCTAGCAAGAAACTGAGATATTTTTAGAGAACCTCTTTTGCCTTCCACCAGTATGGCTGATGCTAATCTCCAGAAAAGCAACTTACGGCGCCTTTTCGGTTTTCTACTGACATGAAATGGAACGATTATATTGAATTAATTGTTAGGTTTGTTGCTAGGCAACTTGGTTAATTGTGCCGTGCTAGACAATTTTTTCGTCATAATCTTTCACATTTCTAAGTTTATCCGCACATTGAATATTGCTGCCACATCTGCTCTGGTGCTTCTGCTATATATCTAGAGATTCTCGACAAAATCCAAAGAAGGGTCTGCAACGTTATCGGTCCTGACCTGGCTTTTCCCAACGCCATAACATAACTTCCAAATGACTTTTCTATTAATTTCTTTTCATGGCAACTGTTTTGATGAGTTTTCTTCTTTCGTATACTACATTGTTTAGTTTCTTGTATATAAAATTTATTCAATGTAAATATTCGTTGGGGTTTCATTTTTAAATGTTTTTATTTTTATCACTCCCCACCTAGACAAATTGTACGTATGTGAACTAGTCAGGATTACATAGAGACTTTGATGCATTATAGTGGTTGTGGTAAGAATGGTAAGAATGTGTTGCCTTGGTGTAAGGAATACTGTGGTGTGTTTGGCTTAGTAATCGTGAGATAAGACAGATTGAAAACCAGCCCTTCTCTATTCTCCCCTTTTGGCCTTGTGCCACATTTTTGTATTATATCAAAATAAATATTGCTTTCCTCTTTGATACCTCGACTTCACGAATTTAAGCGCAGTACTAGATTGGTAATTAGGTCTCACTGTTGAAATTGCGAGATGTAACCGTAAGTTCTATGTTAATAATTATTATCTCTCACTTCTCGCCTGTGGAATTCTTTTCCGGTTTCTTCCTTACCTGTCAACTACAATCTTCAAAGATTTAATCGTCAGTTGTCATCTTTTGTCTCCTCAAAAACATTTTCTTTGTTTCTTTCACTCTTAGCGTCTTAGTGGCTTTTATGGCGTTGCTTGGAGTGAAATAATTGCAATCAAAGTCGGTAGCTAGCAAGATAGATAGATAGGAACAGACTGGGATAGATGCATATGAAGACACTAGGATAGGTTGCTAGATCGGAAGAGATTGAGAAAAATAGATAGAAAGAAACTGGAATAGGTTGCTAGCTCGATATGAACAGAGATGGATAGATAGAAAGAAATGTAGGTATGTAGATATACAAATGAATGAAAGAAAACGAAAAAAGTTTTTTTTAAATTTCAATCAGTTAATTAACGATGATACGATCAAGCGTTTGCAACGCGAGATATTTAATTGATTATGAATGTCTGATTAAATTTGGCAAAGTATATCGGATACATCCCACTTTATCTGGATTGCTTCAATTGTTTTAGCTACAATCAACTCCAGCACAAGGTTCGTACTCGAGGCTAGCTGCAGCGCCAACCTTTTGATAAAAGTTTAACTGCACTTATGCATGACTGATTCCTATTATCAGAAATTCTCCTCCTCTGCTTGGTATTTGCGTAGGATTTTATAGTCAAGTATTACGCATGCGTGAACACGTACCGAATACCGCCAGGCATATTCACATGCCAATCGATGCAAAAAAGACATACATAATGTTAGCATATATGTACATATTTCTATACAAACTAAGCTATAGACGATAGAGTTAACTTGTAAACGGCGGGAAAATTTTGCGTGAACGTCCACTACAAACTGATAAAAAATGATTTTAAAATGTCAGTTTTTATGCTTTGTTTTTGCCTTAATTATATACAAAAACTATAAAATTATATTTGTGTCCTGTTAAATCAGTGTTTCTCAACCTTTTATTTACTTCAAGGCGCACTTGTAGAATGGATAAAACTCTGGGAAACACTTTAAATTTTTACTAAGGAAAAATTAACCAAAAATTTTTAAAATATGAAATTTTGGTTTAGCATTCCCAAATAATAGCGCTACAGTTTTCATATAAAGGGATTTATGAATTTAGAGAGGTCGATAATAACAGATTTAAACCCTTGAGGAAAGCAAAAGGATTATCTATTTCTTAATTTATTTTTTAATCCAGTTTAAAATACCAAATGTCAAAGACTTGACTTAGACATGGAATTCATGTGTTTGGTATCTTTAGCTTTTTAAAAATAAAAATAATTCATAAATTTCTTTTCTGTTAACTTTGGGCACACCTAGCTATCTTTCAGGGCGCATTAGTGTGCTTGGGCACACCTAGCTATCTTTCAGGGCGCATTAGTGTGCTTGGGCACACCTGACTATCTTTCAGGGCGCATTAGTGTGTCTGGGCACACCTGGCTATCTTTCAGGGCGCATTAGTGTGTCTGGGCACACCTGGCTATCTTTCAGGGCGCATTAGTGTGTCTGGGCACACCTGGCTATCTTTCAGGGCGCATTAGTGTGCCTGGACACACTGGTTGAGAAACACTGTGTTCGATTGTGAAAACAAAAGAAATAAAACAAATGTTAGGTTCATAAATTTAATATTCCTTGAAGCATTTTCTGCACAATGGAGTTGTACATTCTTTGCACCAAATTGTTACCATTTTTCGACTCTTCTCTTCTAGAAGCATCCATGCAGACTGTTATGTAGTGGTTTCACAGTGGAGGCTTGTATTTGTACTAAGTCGGTCCTAAATAGGTTCAACGTACAAAACGTTAGGAACTCGATATAATAGGTAATGACGCAGAGAAATCTAGTTGGGGTGGCTGATACTTTAATATCCGACTAACGGTCGTCCGATATCGACTGACTGACCTCCTCTCTGAGCCACTGCTACTACTCCTACTTATTATAGGTGGGAGAGTCTATTAACAATAGAATAGGTATGTTCCACTATAACACCCCACCCTAAAACTTTACTCCGTAGGAGTAAACGGTTTTCTTTATTTATTTTTCATTTTTTACAGGAAATATGAAAAAAAAAAAACAACAAAAAAAAAATTTTTTTTTTTTTAGCAACATCGTAGCGTATCTCCTACGTTTTTTGATCCACTTTTAAATGATCAGTTGCCTTTCTTTTTTCTTCTGGATCGGCGTACCTTAGGTAAAATTGTTGCAGGCGTTCTTAGATCAAACGTATTGAAAATCACCTCCATCGTCGTTTTTTTTAATACCGCCTGAGCGTTTTCTTTTAGCTGGAATTTTGCCTCCATCTTGGTACACGTTCCCAAACCTGGAGAAAAAAACAGTAGGAAATGTTCCCTTAAGTTTCTTTACTAATTTTGGGGCTTCGTAGTTTAAAAAATCTACCTTGTAACAGAAAGAATTTATCGGTTGATCCCATAATTGAAATTCTGTTATCCAATCCGTACCAAGTAAGTTCGTGCTATTTTCTATGACAAATAGTTTAGCTTTTCGCGTTTTTTATTTAACGTGACGTTCGTAACAAATTTTCCAATAAATTGTATTTTTTCTCCCGTCACTGGCCTCGGGATTTAATTTGCCTTCATTAAAGTTGGTTTCCCCAACTTCTTCCACGTATGCAAATTTATGATAGATAGGTCGGAACCAGTGTCGAGTTGCATTTTTATTTTTTTATTACTTATTTTGACGGTAACAATTTTTCTGGTTATTCCATCGTTCACCTCGTCGGACTTTAATTTTCTTATTTTATTGTCTTTATTTTTTGAAATGCAGTGCGAGCTTTTATGACCCACTCTTTTACAGTTCCTAAAATTGCAATATCTGTACCAGTGAAGTTCACCGCACGCAAAACATGGCTTCGGGAGTTTTTGTTTATTTTTCTCTGGTATTTCACTTTGTGTTTGATAATCCGCAATTTTAGAATTATTTTTGGTAGACTGACTTTCTTTTTTGTAGCATATTTTCCTTACATACGAAACGCAACACTATTCTATCTTTTTCGAATTTTTCTTTACGCTAACATATCTTGTGCAGTCTTCTACCAACTTCTGTATCGAAATCCTTGGTTCGTTTTCTAATTTTGACAGTACTAATTTCCTCAACTTTGCGTCTCTTTCCGATAACAGCCCTTGAACAAACACTAAGCACTTAAAGTTGTCAGCGCTTAACTCTGCCAGCTTGAATTCTTCACAATGCTTATTTACATTGGCTGCGTACGTTATATAGTCTTGTTCGTCATCATTCATCAGATTCAAACATTTCCACCTCTTTTGAAACAAAGATGTCTTTTTACTAAATAATTTACTTAATATATTTACCGCCTCGGTAAAAGTCAACTCGCTAGTTTTTTTCGGTAAAATGTAGTTTACCAATTTGTTGTGCTTAGCAGTTCCTAACTTGCTTAAAAGAAGCCTAAACTTCTTTCCTTCAGACCACGAGTGGCAGTCCTCGTTATACACGTCTGTATATTTTTTATAATACTCCTCAAAAGTTATCTCTTCATCCGGAATGTACGTGAATATTTCAAATGAATTCCATATTGTATTCTCTGGGAAAGAACCATTTTGTAGATTTTTCTCTCTCCTCTTCTCAGTTATTTCCAGAATTTTGTTTTGAAACTCTTTATGCATCTGTTCCATTTCTCGTTGAAACTGCATCTGTCTATTAAAAATTTCCTCCTGTAGTTGCATCTGGAATGTTTTCTGTTGCTCTAATATTGTCATCTGTTGTTCCGTCTGGAACTTAAAAAATTCCTGGAATATATTTTTGCATTCCTCCATCTTTACACAATGCTTAAATATTGTAGAGGTTGGTCCTACGAATTTGCAATTCGTGACCTATTTGAGCAAACTGTCTTATCGAGAAAAAAAAAATTCTTTTCTCAGTTGAGAATACGACTGATTTTTTTCGTCACTAAGTTGACGTCTTGTCTTTCGAAAAACTTTGCCAATTTTTTTTTTTAATGTGAATCCGAGATGTTGTCGCCGAAAATTGTGACGAGCAAGTTGTTTTTTCTTCTTCCTCCGTATGAGTACGAACTTCGTCACTAAATAATGTGGCGAGCGAATTTTTTTTTCCCGTATGAGTTTGAATACTCGTACTTTCTTTTTTTGTTATGGCGGAT